ATGAAAAGCAGAGAGAAATTGCCGTGTATCCCTTCGATTTTGTGTCTGTTTTTGCACAGAGTTTTAAAGCATAGAAGCAGCTCTTTCTCAGTGAATGTGCCTTTCTGCTGTTTCTCGATGGAAATAATTGCAGAGATAGAGGCTCCAAAGACCGTGGGGCTGTCACTTTGCACAGCCTGTTTGACACTTTCAAGCTTTGTCTCTTTAAAGGCCCTGAACAGAGTGGGCACGGCCATTAAAGAAGCCTTTTGAACAATATCTGAGCGGGAGCTGCAGCCTTTTTCAATCTCATGCGAAAAGTGGTTTAAAAAGTCGGCGTTTGAGATTTTGGATATAAAGTCAAAGGCAAGAGATACTTTGAGCGCATTTGAATAGGTTTTCTGCGCAAGGTCTTCTTTTGTCTCCTGCAGGACCGTGTTCACAGAAAGAATCAGAAGAGACGAGTCCACTCGCACTGTTCGCAGAATAAAAGAGTATGCAGCGCACTTCACCTCTATGGCACTGTGCCCTATAAGACTTAGAATAAGCGGGAAGACTTGTGCTTTTTCTTTGTGAGACAGGTTTTTTGTAGAGATTGTGTGGAAGGCATCCATGACTTTTTTCTTTTCTCCTGTGGCAAGCTTTTCTTTTGTCTCCAGAAATACGCTTTTCTTCGGAACAACTGCAGGCGCAATAAGACTATTTGTTAGAGTGTACATGGATGGGTTTTAGGACGCGCTATTTATAAAGCGGATATTTGTTTGTTATTGCAGCACTGCAGATTTTTACATAATAGAGTGGGCTTTTGTGCAGTAATTATATGCTATCGATGTTTTTCAATGAGTATAAACATGTACAGTTTGACTAAACAAGATTTTATCTAGATCTATTGATATATTTGCAAAAGATAAACACCTTATTGCAAGTAAATATAAATGCTATTTATGCAGTATAGTGTGTTAAGCAGTGATCTGTTGATTAAATGCTGCACTTCACAAATATAGTATAGTCTTATATGCAGGCGCAGAGAGGCTATAATAATTTTAGTATTTTATCTCGGGTTTATTTTATTTTGTAGGACATAATCAAATGAACTCTCTTACTTTTGTAATCTAGCGTGTGTTTTAAAAAACTACTAAATACGCTCCAGCTCATGTATTTATACGCATACAATGCCATCACTACAAATGCAAGCAAAGAAGCGCATAAGTATAGTAGGAAGAAAAACTCACTTTTGCTCATTTTGTCTTTTTTAAAGAAGGCCACGTTATATAGCTCTGCAACACTGTATATTTGGGCAATAGCAAGCAGGCCAATTAGCACAGACCAGTTTTTCCATGTGTAGGTTGTCTCTAGGATAGAATTCTGTATGTCTGTTTCTATATACACTTCTACATAGTTCTTGTAGATGAAGCTAAATAAAAATAAGCATGGCACAGAAAACAGGATTGAAAGAACTGAATAGACTGTTTTGGCATATATACTTTTAACAAACCTTATAAAACGCTTGAGCATGTATATCACGCTTATTATCTTAACAATAAAGCTTGTAATGTTGAAAAAGTTGTAGCATGCTATAAGAACGATGTTTCTTGGGGTGATAATATTGTATGGATTTGTTAGCTGCAAAGAGATGAGATTTGCCACACCGTTATTTCCCAGCATTATCACGTTGGCAGTTGCGTATATAATATTGAGTATTATATAGTATCCAAGTAAAAGCATTATTTTCCTCAGTATATCAAATAGTGTGGTTCTGCAAAAGTATCTAAAGCTGCTCTCTTCTGGCTTGCGGAGTGTACTGTCTGATGGATGCACAGGATCTGAAGTTCCATTTATGAGATGTAAAAGAGAACTGGTCATTTTTTCTTGAACCATATTGAAAAGCCTTGGGCCCAAAAAGACATTTTGGCGCAAAGCAGCAGACTTGTGATGATTCATTTGGATGCCAAAAAATTTTAGTCTCTGTTTCGATATAACTCAAAAATACATAGAATTTACACGCTAGAAAAGAAATCTATTGGACGGTAAGCAGAGCAAAGGAGAACATTTCAGACTTATACTCCAAGAGCTAGTTTGATGATTTGTGTATCTGTGATGAACATAACTAGCACTACTGGTAATTTAAATACTGAAAGTAGAAAAATAATATAATTTAACTGCACTCTTAGATATTTAGTAGAAAGATTTAGCATAATGTGAATGCGTGTGTTTAAGAGCAGATGTTTAGCAAACTAGATTGTTTTATTTAATGTTGCTTTTTATAGGTTTACCTATAAGTGTGTTTGTGTTTAACTAATGCTAGTTTTAAACACGCGATTGCATATATCTCGCATAAGTGCTAGATAGTATTGGAACCAGCAGAATTTTTGACCCAATGTTAGAAAACAAAGAGCCTGCACTATTGCTATTTTGGTGGTTAGCAGAGTTTGCACAGATTTTATCAGCAGATTCTATGGGCTTAGAGGCATTAAATTCATTTTTGTTTGGAAGTGCTGGATTTGAAGTGGTGCTAAATATAATATCAGATGTGCTTGGTTTTGTAGAATTCATTTGTTGAGGGGCACTGGGTGTACTACTGGGATATGGTACTGGATTTGAAGTGGTACTAGATATATCCTGAGATGTGCTTGGTTGTACTTTTTCTGGGCGATTAGTATTATTTTTGGGTATGATACTTGTTACACTATCTTCATTTGAGCTGGGATAATTAGTATCAGGTATATCACTGTTTAATACTTTTTTTAAAGTGGAGCTATAATTTGTTTTAGGGGTAGTAACTTCCGAAGTCTCCTCTAAATCATTAACTTTGAGAGTAGTAACTTCGGGAATTTCCTCTAAATCATTGACTTTGAGAGTAGTAGCTTCGGGAGTTTCCTCTGAAGCATTAGTTTGAGGTGTAGTAACTTCGGGAATTTCCTCTAGATCATTAACTTTGAGGGTAGTAACTTCTGGAGTTTCCTCTGAGGCATTAGTTTGAGGTGTAGTAACTTCCGGAGTCTCCTCTGTCGTACTATTTATTTCTGATATGGTGCTAACCTGCAGACTTTGCTCAGGAGGATTACTACAATTTTGTGATGTATACACTATTTTTATTGGCTCAATGTTTCCAACTTCACTTAAATCTATGCGGCTGCAATTTTCTAGCTTCTCATCTTCATTTTCATTGTAGAATTTAGACAGTAAATCATGTGTATCAAAATCATCAATATCGATAATTCTTCCGATTGTTGAATTGATATATTCTAACTCAAAATCTAAATGCTTAATTTGCATTTTGAAGAATCTTTCATAGTCTTTTTTATCTAGAATGCTATTTTCTATCTTTTTTTTAAAATCTGTAAATAATTCTTTGTTTTTATCGCTAAAAGATTGAATAAAACTTTCCATTTTAGCTATATAAGCACTAATATCATTTTTGATTGTCTGTATTGCATTTTCTACCTGAACATTATTTTTTTCGTCAGAAATAAAAAGATTGCTTACATCTTTCATTACAGTAGAGCTATTTTTTTTTACTTTTTCAATATTTTCCTTTAAACCACATACATCTATAATAGCAGGATCCATAAAGTATTCTATGCGGTTAATATGCTCGTATACATTTATTATTTGGTTGTATGTGTTTTTTATGGACATATCCGCAAAGCTTGAGTTTATAATAATGCTCTTTAGATCCGGATATCTTGTTTTAATATCAAGTTGAAGATCCTTGTTTGAAAACATATATATTGGGTTTTCTTTGAAAGTAGAGTTTTTAATATTTTGTAGTGCGGTCTTCCATTGGTCTGCTTGAGATAAAACATTTTTTGCTTCTTGGGTTTTATACAAATATATATTCTTTACTACATCAGCATAGTCATTCCTAGACAAGCTCTTGTAATCTCCCATTGATATATGTGTGCATATTTTCACTAATATTTCTTCTATTGTTAATCTAAATGTATTAGAAATTTCATATTCTTGCTTTATCTGGGCTTCAATATTATTTATCGTAGTATTATTATATGCTGTTGTATATTCAAATCTTTTATTCAGATCTGGATCAATCTTTAACTCTAGCATCCTTCTATAAAAATCCAGCGAAAATTCAGGCGAAGAAATCATAAAACTGTAAAATTTAAGTCCATCTGAGTTGTTCTCAGACACTGTAATCGATTTCAGTATATCATTGTATGCTGAATTGTAGTCAGTTTCGAAAATAGAGGGAATACTACTATTGTTTGTTTCATTGCTCTCTGCTATATCTCGGGTTATTCTGGTATATGGTTTACTATATCTTTCTTTTGGCATACTATATAAATCTTCCTTTTCAACATAGAAACTATTTTCGCTTCTCATTTCCATTCCTGGATTATATGCTTGTTCAAGTTCATTGTATCCTGGGTTATTGAGGATATAGCTTGTTCCTGGCGTAATAATGATACTTATAATAAGCCCAATGAATACGATAGCTCCTACAACAAAATTTATTATCTTCATAAAAATAAAAACACTTGTGTATTTATATCTCAATGATCTTTAATCAATCGCCGTATTTCAAAATCATTATTAGTGAGCATGCATTGCATAACTTTCAATAGAAGACTCTAGTAATCTAAACAGATAATATGCAAATAGGAATAGAATGAATGATAGATTCTTATTGCTCTTCCTTATTTTCAGTGCTGTGCAGAATTGCTCTTTGTATTTATACATACTTTATTATTATGAGGCGAGCTATGGCCTGTAGTAGGATGTATGCTGTAGGCTTTAGTATCCTGTGTTAGCATGTGTACCAAACGGTTATTCTTTTCTACAGCAATTTATGAATGTGCTGAATTCATGTTCGTCTCTGTTAATAAAATATTTTTATACTTATTTTTTGTGATGACTGTAAAGTATGCTATAGTGAGATAGCTTAATTTATGACAAATACTAATACATATTGCAAGTAAAATAAAATTCATGATAAAATTTATTAGAATTACTAAATATAGCCTCCTGTAAATAGTATAAAAAGAAAATATTTTAATTTATTTATGATCCTACAACAGGTGCTGAAGAAGGTAGCAATAGGAATAGCTATATTAGCTTGTCTACAGAGAGCTAAAGCAGAACTAGACAGAGATATACGAAGGGCAAAGATTTATTGGAAAAACAGAATGGATCATATAAATAGAGAGTTTCAAGTCCGTTGTAATTTTTATGTTAGCGCAAATTCTTTCATATATGATCAAGAAATATCATCTAAAACTCTTAAAGATAATCTAGAGGACGGAAAGAACAAAATATTCAATGTAAAAAGGAAAGTAGCAATTCTTGATGAATGCGTAGAGACGATATTAAGCATAGCGCCAAAATGTTTAAAAAATACTAGCGATTCAAATATAGAACTAAATGAGCTATATTGCAGCTTAAGAAAGTCACTCTTAGAAGCCTTTGATAAAAATGACTCAGTAAGTGATGCAATGAAAGAGCTTGATTCACATATGCTGGAAGTAGTAAAGGAATACAGCTATATAAAGAACAAAAACAATCGCATACAAGAATCAACTCTGTTCAAGCTAGCAGAAAAGAACAAGGCATTTGCTTTGAATATGCTGTTCAGTCTTTCTAGAATAGAACTGTTTAAACCTGCTAATCTTATAGAAGAAGAGATAAAACATGCATTTGAAAACAAAAAAGATTATCTAATCACTACGGATTTCTCAAGCTACAAGAAAGCTATAATAAATGATATAGAAAAAGGCCAAGTAAATCTATTTGGATTAGCTAACAAACACTTCTATATTCTATTTAGGCAATACGGAATTGATGCAAATGTGATGAATATCTATCTCAACCTACTAAAAGAGGATATGTCAAAAGAAGAGATAGACCAATACATAGACATCACTCCTGGCCAGGTTATAAAAATGATAATACTAGAGTGTACATTGAATACATATCTTATAGACCACAGGAGAAACATTTTGTTTTCTAACCTTGGGAAAGTAATAGTGAATACAGGAAGGCCAAGAATCAACAGCACAGGCGGCTATGAAGCCGTGGAAAGAGCAAAAGAAAGACAAGATAAAATACTTGATGCACTACATCTTCTGTGGAATAGTGATGACTTATTTATAATAGGAGAGGGGTGTGAAAACTTTAGAAGATTCTGCATAGATAATGGCATGACAGCTACTAAAATTAGTAACATACAGAATATTTTTACATTTTCTAGATGGATATATACACTGGATATACTTACTTCAACACCTGATAATATAACTAATGCACACAGAGTATTCAAAAAAACGCACTTTGACTTGTCTTACACCCATCCCATGTGCTATATCTATCTGCGATCTAAAGATGCTATCAAACAATTCAGTAACATTAATCATCTTGTCAGCATAGGCATGAATCTAAACGACAAGCCTTTCATGGAAATGCATCCAGCAGGTCTTATCAAACTTAGGCCGTACAAAATAAGTACAGCAGATAATGAATCACTACATACTGAAAATATAAAGGATTGCATTAGGGCATGGTACTTCAAAAGAGTTGAAATTATCTACATACTCTATAGCGATGAATATCTTGATATAGCCAATGATTTTAAAAATCATTTCAGTAAATCAGGCTATGTGGATGAAAAGAGAACAATGCCTACATTGGCAAGCGAATTTGGAATGGATGCAAGTAGTTCTTTACAGGATGCTCAAATGGAATCTGAAGAAGTGCATGAGCCCAGAGGCAATGAAAGCAATCCATTGCAGGTTGATCAAATGGAAATTGAATATGATGATGGCTTTGAGCTAGTTTAATCAGCATCTATTCACCGATCTATTTATTCACTCATACGAAATAAAGCTACTATTTAACTCCTCTCTTTCTGCACTCTATCCATCTTATTTATATTCGTGTTATCTAATCATATTCATAAAAATCACTGCTCCTTCAAGAGAGCCACATATTCAACGATTCTAATGGCTCTAATAAGTTTTATCTTGGCTTTTATTTTAGCTGGCAAAATTTATTAAACTTAGAAATAATTGAATTTTAGTCTGTCTCATCACACTGCACAGTACTGGCTTCTTAGCTAGGGCTATTTTATAGCATCTTTCAGCTTTATTATAAAATCAAGCATGCCTCTTCCAAAGTATATAAATATTATGCTACACACTGCTATAACCAGCAGCAGCCCTGCAGACTTTAGCCATCTTCTTCTTTTTCTACGAACTGTTGCTGTTTCTATTTGTGTGTTGACTCCTACGCTCAGATTTCTATTGAGAAACATCTTGGAAGAAGCCCCTTCTATTTCCACCGAAGAGCTGCCTATTATTTCATTCAGCTCAATAAACGTAGTGTTCAGCTCCTCGAGAGTAAGGAGAAGCTCCTGTATGCTTTGGTCTGCTTTTGGCTCATCAAAACACTCGCCTTCTAAAGAGTATCCGCCTCCTTCCCCACTGTCTTCTTTTCTTGTTTGTTTTTTTGGTGCGAAAGCGCTTAGAGAGTCTTGTTTCTTCTCCATTACTTGCAGAAGCCCTGCCTTGGCCTCCACAAATCCCTCTGTTTGGGCTTTCAGCCTGCTGTACAGAGCCAAAATGTGCATGTGCATCTTTTTCTCCAGGACGCCGTTTCTGCTGTATGCTTTCCGGATCTCTTCTATATTCTCTTTTATTTCTTTGGACCGGCTGTAGAATGAGTTTGTGCGAGCTTTAAAGCTCTCCAGAATGTGTTTTCCGCTGCTCTGTGTTAAATTAGAAGACACATACCTCTTTTTCATCTCCTCCACTGCCTGCGCTTCATTGGAAAGCAGGGCTATCTTTTTCTCGTTTTCTTTAATACACGAAAGAAATTCCACAAAACTTGAGTTTTCCATGCTAAAACTTTTAAGAATTCTATTATAAATGAGAATCTCACACTTCAATAAATTAAAAAAAGCCAGCAGCACCCAGACCCTTACGGAATACATCATTTAATCTAGAAGTTCAGGCTGGCAAAACAGTGAAAAGAAGGAAAAACATCATAAGTGATAGAATAACCCGAGAATAACTCCATATACAAGTATTATTTTTGCACCTTAGCAAATTAGCATAGAGCATTCCTGCAGTCTAAGAATTACTCCGTGCAGAAGGTATGGTTTCTTTTAGCTCTATTTCAGAAAGCTGGAGATGTTTTCATGCACTTTAATAAAATAAATGCTTTTAATTTTTAACCTTTGCGTGGAAGGCGCAGATATTTCTAGCCATTTTATGCGGCGTTGTGGCAAAGGGCTCTTTATGCTAAATCGAAAACATTTTTATTTAATATCAATAATCAATAATGGCACCATGTTTAGTTTATTTGCTAATACAAACAGAGAAAAATGAGTTTATTTATCCAAATATTATTTTCATAGATTAAAAACTCGGGTTATGCGCTTCATACTCATAGCCATTCTCTTCTTTTTTAAAATAGCAGCCTCGAACGTGCAAAAAAATGTGCCTGCAGGCGCACAGCATGTGACCCTGGCCGTGTCTAACATAAAGAGACAAGACCATGTTCTGAGCATAGAGCTAGAACAGCTTGCTGCATACTCAAATAAGGGGGCAGAAGTCACCGAGATGCAAATAAGGAAGAAAGAGCCTGTAATCATCTCTCCCTATTTTTTTCTTGAGACCATAGTGCGCTTAATATACAACCAAGCCAGGCAGAACTCTGCCTCTTTTTTCTTTAGGATGCGGATTCTTAATAAAAGGCCTGAGCAGCTTCAGAGAATAGTGGAGGAAAATACTAAAGACATATATTTGTACAAAGAAGAGATGAAGTACATTTTGAACCAAATTGCACGGGAAACAATAATCATTACCCAGTTCCATGGCATCCTGGCACTTGACATCAAGTCTCTTTCGCACATAGACTTTTCGGGGGTGCTTATTGTGTGCTGTGCAAATGAGGAAGAAATAAAGTCCGCGCTTCTATTCCAAGCCATGCTGCCTCTGGCATTTGTCGTTGCCATAGAACAAGAAAAGATAGAAAAGTATCTTAGCAGCTTGCACACTTCAGATAGACACAAAATGTTCTCTATAGAGATACAGGCTCCGAACACAATGAAAAGGAATATCTCCAGACTAATGAGCATCTTCGTCCTTATAGGGTTTTTGACAGTTATGGTAAGCACGGTATATCTTCTTCTGACCCGAAGAGCACAGCCGACTGTGATTCCTAAGACAGTTCGAACAAAAGACCTAAAAAAACTCCCTGTCTTTGTGTACTCAAAAATACCTAAAGAAACACGAGACTCGGCCCATGATTGCATTATTTGCTTTGAGAAGTTCATACCTGCCTCTCTCTGCCGCATGCTCCCGTGCAACCACTTCTACCACACATCCTGCATTGATGTTTGGCTGATAAAGTATTCTAATAGGTGCCCATACTGCCAAAAGGCCATTGAGCAGGCATAGGCCACTAGAGCACAGCACGTAATGGCCATGTAGACCGCAGTGCTTCCAAATGCATCCTAGGTAAACCATGTACAGAGCTCTAACAGACTTTCCACTGGAAGATGTGCACTGCAAAAGAGTCCTAGAGCAGACTTGAATAGTGCACACTACAATATATATAACTTGCACAGATACTTTTCTTTTAAAGGCACTGCTCAGCGCTTTTTACACATAAACATTCTAGACAACCATATTCTTAAAATAAATAATAAAAATATATAACTAGTAGACATTGCAAAACAGCTGCACACTTTTTAATTTTATATTTTAGCATTAAGTTAGAACATACAATACTCTTTTCATATCCACACACTATAAACACTAAACACAGAGAGAGTAGTAGAAAGCCGATGCATCTTTAGAACATGCACAGCGTTATTATAAGGCAGTTAAAACACTGGACAGGAAAAGAAGCTATCTGCTACCCGCGCAGTAGGCTACCTTCTTTGCGTATATGGATATTCATGTAATAGTGGCTTTTATTAATGATTCTGTATGCTCTGCATTAAAAGACACAGTGTTTCTGGCCAAGTCGCTGGCACAGCTGCTGTCTTCTGTAGATATGCACACCGGTTTAAACATTTGGGGGCATATAACGCTGTGTATACAATCTATGTTTTAATTATAGCGCCTCAAATGTAGGAAGAAAAAACACCAGCACACACCGTACAAATACATAGTGATGGTAGTATATTCTATGAGCTAATAAATGGCTCTCTTTGGGTGATGTGCTGATCTGTGTGATTAGAGGAAGCTATAGTATGGATTGTTGTCTATTGCATTTTGCGACTCTGTTCTCGAACACTTCTTGCAAAAGAGGCTGAATTCGCTGGAGTCTATCTTTGCATCGCAGAAGATGCAGAGCTTATCCTGCTTTGCTCCGTGCTCGCCTGTGCTCTCGAGAGAGGAGGCAAAAGAAATATTGCGCACCGAGACCAGGGCCTCAATCTGCTCGGGCGTGCTTTCAACAGCCTGTATAAGATTGACTATTTTAAAAACTCTTTCGCCCTCTTTGTTCCTGTACACCCTAATGGAGTTTGAGTCTCTGTCTGCGCCCGAAACAGAAAAAGCTTTAAGGTCTTCCAGCTCATCTTTGCCCGTCCTTCCTATTTCGTTGCTTGCTGGTGCGCCCATTTTTTTTCTTGCTGAGCGCTAGATAAGAATAGAGTCATTGGGCGAATTAATTTTTTTCATATGCCCAAATTTAACAAAACAAACCAGCAATGTTCAAAAACAGATGATTTCATATTGCATGTCTGTTTTCTGCGAAAAATAGAGCATTTTTTTAGGAGGAGAGGTGGAAGAGCGATTTTGCAACGAGAGAGTTTTCTCTATTAAATTGCACTTTTTATTTAGCTAAATTTAACAATGGCAGCAGCAGAAAGAGAAATAGCAGACCTTTTGAAAGAGTCGACAGAGAGCAAAATCAACGCAAAGACAACATGGCACTCCACGCTCATTGACGACTTTTCCAACATAGAGAAGTTTAAGGAAAAAGAGACAAACAGCATGAACTTCCAGCACGCAAGCATAGTTTTGGACGGGTGTGTGAAGGTGTACAGCACGCGAGTTGACAGCGTTGTGGACGAGGCTGACAAACTCATGGACTCGGTTGGAAGGGTTAAGGAGCCAGAAAAGCAGAGAGTGCGAGCAAAAGCCCACCCCACAATAGAGTCTAACCTGGAGGCCATTCTTATTAAGCAGAAGCTCGTGTCTTCTGACGACGAGATACTTGAGCACCTAGCCAGAGAGTCAAAAGAAGGCGACACACGAGGCCTGCTTATGCATCTTCTTAAGTGGAGCGATGCCAAGGGATTCCACGTTCTTCAAACAAACAGTGTGGCTAGTGAAGATTCGCAGTGTAGTAAGGCCGTGTGCAGCGAGAAAGAGATAGACTTCGACGCACTGCACAAGTCTTTCTACACGGAAGACGCAAGGAAGAACATCAGCCCAATGTTTTCCAAATTCACTCCTGATAAGTCGGTGGAGGAGCTTGTGCTCCCAACATATGCGTACAACATCAGCTACGACGCAGAGCCGCTGGAGTATGCATACAAAGGGAGCAGCGTTGTTTTCTCTGAGCCAGGGCTGTACAACGATCCTCTGGAGAGCTATAGAGACGATGAGTCAGCAGAAATGGAGGGCCCTTCCAAAAATGCAGAAAACCGCTATGAGCCTTCGCTTAAACCCAGCACGGAAGAGCTGCATCTGGTCTATACGCCCTTTGGCTACGCAAAAGGATGGGCAGGGCCTTCGCACTGGAAGGTGCACGCCCGAAAGCGGCAAAGAGAAAGGCCAGAGGCAAAAGAGAGGAAAAAAGCAGTGATAGACTTTCTTACGGACACGCACCTTCCTATTGCAACGCTCTTTGAAAGGGGGGAGGGCATAGTAATAACACCTCAGCAAATATCAGAAAGAAGAAAGAACTGCAACACTCTCCCGCCAGACCACAATGTAAGGATAGAAGACCTGTACCAGATGTTTATGTACCCAGGCTTTCTTCACACAGTGGAGGAGGCCAGAGATTCTACTGGTAGCCAGAGCCAGGAAGCACCTCTCTCCCCAACTGCATTTCAAGGCGCAGACCATGCGCAGCAGGAGACAGATATCTACGAGTTCAATGGCGAGGCAGATTACCAGGAAGCACCAGCTGATAATGCAGGAAGCGCTCCAGAGGAAGGAGCTGCACCGCAGACAACGCTGCTTTCTCGCCGGCTTCTACAGAGCGCTCTTAGAAAAGCCCGGAGGAATGACATAGTCAAGGTCAAGGAGAGCCTATGGAGTAAAATAGAGGAGGGCGAGAAGAAGGTAGAAACCATATACAACTCAATAGAAGAGCAGAAGGTCTCTGTTCATTTCTATCTGGTTTCGCTGCTGCATCTGGCAAATGAAAGGAATCTCCGCATCACTTCAACATCAAAAGAGCAGATCTCTGGAATGGCGGACCTGTCTCTGGAGGGCTCTGCAGCGGGTGTGCAATAATACATCCGGAGCTCCAAGTAAACGCAAAGATAGACCTGTGCCAAATACTTCTGCAAAAAGACCAAAAAGGCTGATATCTAAGCTAGCCCTCTCCAGTACAATAAAAACAATAGAGTCTTGCTGTATTTCAAAATGTTAGATAGACAGATATTTTACAGGCTAGCAGCAGTGTGTGTCTAGTATTCAATACATGCTAAATAGACACTTTTGTAACCCGAGAATAACTACAGAATGTTTACAGTGTCTTTTTACTGACAAGCTATGCGAGCTATGTGTGCTCTAAATGTTCTGTTAAAGCCACTTTGCTTCGTTGCTTTTTAAGCACAAATATTTTTTTGAAATCCCATGCTAGCGCTAAAGAGGTGTGTAGCGATTTATCCCCCCATGCTAGACTTGTTTGCCAACATAGATAAACAGTTTCTGGACAAGCACAGAGTCGAAATAAATGCGATAGTAAGCTATTGCGAGGAGAAACACCACGGGATACAGGAGTATGTTGCTGACACAATGCAGAACAGCCCGGATGATTTTACCTTCCGTGCAGGCGGAGCCACGTTCAACACGCAGAAGATCCTCTCTGAGTGGATGGAGTGCTACTTTTTTGGCATTGTAGGGCACGACTCGTACGGGTCGATTATAGAGGAGAAAATGAAAGGAACGCGTGTCAAGATATACCTGGACAAAAGCAGCGTTTTCTCAACGCCCTGGGCGTACGTTTTTATCACGGAAGATCAGAGAACAATTGTCGCAAAACAGGATAAAAACGTGCGCTATTCAGAGACAGCTAAGCAGCGCATACACGCTTTGATAGACAGCCAGACAGTGTTCTACTTTGTGTCTTTCATGTTCTTCCTTGAGAACATAGTAGAAGAGTGCATGGCGATGTACAAAAACAAGAACAGCCTGGGATTCTGCAGCATTGTCAATCTGTCATCAGAGGAGATCGTTAGCACTTTCAAAGAAAAAATAATGGAGATTATAAGGGTATCTGACTTTGTGATAGGAAACAAAGCAGAGTACTATGCGCTATCGGGCACACAGGACGAAGAGTCTCTTCTTTCGTGGATAGACTCCTTGGACATCGCGTATGCCATCACAGATGGCCCAGGGGAAGTGATTGGAAGAATACCGGGCGGGCCTTTGAGAAGAGTGACCCCTGCATGTGTTCCAGGAAACTGCAACACAAACGGCGCAGGAGATTCGTTTGCAGCAGGATTTATCGGGAGCTTGAGCGGAAAAGCGCACAAGGAAGTACGCGACATACTCCCCTTACTGGAGAAGGGAATAGAGGCTTCCTACATTCACATAAAGAGCTTGGAGAAATCCTAGGAGGAGAAATGGACTGGCACAGCAGCGACTAAGATATTAAGAAGAATAAAGACTAACTAACGATAAAGCTGCTACTTCTATGCCAAGCAATACTTAAACTCTCTTTCTTTCTATACTACACGGCTTAAACCTCTCCAAGAGAATAGCTCTAAGAAAAAGAGTGTTCTATGCTATGCAGCAAAGATAGGTATAAGAGTGCTGTCTGTTCTCTGGAGAATGCATGTTTGTGTTTGTGTGCTCTATATGCTGTCTATGGATGCTATAGCTGATTTTTATGTCTTTTGCAAGTTCTGCAAACTTTTTAATGAAAGTAGATGAAGCCGTTAAGTGCATAGAGTTTTCAGAAGAGTTTACCCTCGACAAAGCCGCGCTCTCGAATATAGAAACAGTGGAGATAGACAGTGAGGAGGAGCTTAGGGCAATATCTGCAGCTCTCTTCAAAAATTTCTGGGGGCTTCCCAAGATGCAGAGACAGGAGGAGTGGGCCCAGTTTGTTCTGGACGCGATAGAGACAAGAAAAGACAGCGATGCATTTTTGCAGCACTTCCTCCAGTGCATAAAAGAAAAGTGGGCGCACATTGACATCCGCTTGAAAGACAAGTTTGTTCTGCTGGTGCAGAGGATCGCAAACAAGATCATACAAAACTCTGAAGTGTCTATAGAGCAGTTTATTAGCAAAGGGCCAGAGGCTGCATACGATCTGCCTCTGATGCACGCATACATAGACAGCAAGACAGCGCTGTCGAATGAAGACTGTGTATATCTCCTGGAGTATCTTATAGCACACGCGGATACGTACTTCACAAACTTCTTTATAAGCAAGATACTCCCCAAGTTTGAAGAGGCGGGCATTCCAAAGCCCCTAGCAAAAAGGGCGTATGCAGAAGGAAACAAAGAAGAGGTCTCCCCAAAGATGAGAGAGCTTCTCTATTCCATATACTCCTGCAGAGTCAACTAGGTGCTAAAGCACACTCGGTACAATATGCAGCCAGCTGCTGGCGCAGAGCAGAGCGCATGTTATCTGCGATTTATAAATACGGGCTACAGGGCATTTTCCATCTCCTTTAGCTTGCTTAGAATGCGTTTTCTGTGGGCGGAAAAGTCTCTTATCTCTTGGTGAATTTCTGCAGTAAGAGAGAAGCCCTGCAAATGCAAAAGATATACAATAAACTCAATGTTGACATTATCCCATATGCTTCTCTGTATGTGCGCCTCGAGCTTTCTTATAAGAAAGCCAGGGCTTTTTATTTCATTCAGCTCCTCTCTTACCATGGGAACGTCTTGCGGGAAGAGAACAGCTGCGCGCGGGAGAGAGGAGGAGGAGATGTTGTGGGATATGATGTTTTGCACATTGTGGCACTTCCTTTCCCAGCTTTTGGCTGTTTCTGCTCCTATCTCTCGCGGCTGGTACTTTGGCGTCTGCTCGATATAGTACAGCAGGCTCTCCACTGCTTCGCTGTTTCTGCTGTAGAGAGACCACCGGGTGCCGCCCTGTTCTATAACTGCAAGGGATCTATTTCCAACTGTTTGTTTGTACGCAATAAGATCTGCAGTGACTTCCAGAGACTGGCCTAGAGGGCTTGAAGAGCCTTTTTTAACGGCGAACAGAAAGTGTCCGTATATGCTTACTGTGTATTTTTTGGAGAAGACGGTGCTGCTGTTCAGAGTTTTTAGCTGGTAGAACTCGCCTGTGAAAGAGGGGCTCTGCATGCGCGCGAGCTCGAAGGGGTTTACAGGCTGCAGATACAGAACAGAGGGCATGGTGCATACTGTCTCGTTTGGCTTTGCCTGTTTTAAAGACCTGCCGTGCGGTGTTTTTATTCGGTAGTATAGCGAAAAGTAGTGGAAGAAATGGAAGGAAGGGAAGTACTTTTTCAGTGTGCTAATAACTGACAAAACGGGAAGATTAGATGGAGTGTACAGAGTTATTTTATTCTGTTGTGTCCTGAGAGTGTCTCTTGCGTAGGAGTTCAGGTCGATGCTGAATGTGTGCTCTGGCTTGGTTAGAATGTATATGTGGGTCTTGTGTGGGCTTGGCTCAAGCTGGGAGTTGAGATGCAGAGTTTCCTCGGAGCTGTATGCGCTCTCTTTGAGATGCACTTTCACTATTGTGTGGGCTGAGATTGGTATGCTGTTTCTGGTGAAGAAAGCGCACACACTTTCTTTGCTGAACTCTAGATAGTTTCCTGTTTGTATGCACCACACCATTAGATAAACAAACAAAGAGCTCGAGCTATATAGAACTTTATCTGTGATGTAAAACAACCAATCAGGAAGCAGATGAGCACACGCTGATCCTCTTTTTGGGTGGAGTGCATTTCGCACACATAAACTCAGGAGATGTGCGCTGTGGCATTTCTGGAAGGCAGTGAAAAGAACAAGAGGTGTAGTTATACTATTAGACAATGCTTAAAAACAAAAGTGTAGAGCACTTAACTGGTAGCGCTGGCAGACGGTAGAACAAATAAAAAATGGTGAAAGTAAAGGAGCTGCAGGAAGAGGCGCCTGCAGTAGATGAAAAGACAAATGAAATTTACTATATCAGCTTCTTCTTTTTAAGGAAGTCCTTAAAGGAAATCGTTTGGTATGCAAGTATGCCCGCAAAAGCAATAAACATGATCAGATTTATACAGAGAATAGAAATAACTATTTCATTGATGCTGCCAGAGAAAGCCGCAGTTTCGCGCTGTCTGTACGATGTTTGCAAAGAGAGCTCGTAGAGAAGCTTTTCAAACTTTGTCATTTCCGAGAGAGCGGGGTCGATTACTTCGTACTTTGCTATGTCTTTGTTGAATGTATTGTACTGCGAGGTGAACTCGTACTCAACCCTGACGCTTTTCTCTGGAATAGGGCTCATCTCTTCTATTTTTACAGTGTAGGTTTGTCCTGAAGTTGTGTTGAAGGAAAAGTTGACCTCTTCGCCGTGCTTTATGTCTTCCTTTGTGAACACTCTTCTCATGTCCTCTGAGAAGATTGTGGCGCTGAGAGAGCCTGCCGTGGGGGTTTGGAGCTTGAACACGCCTCTGCATATTTGGTTGTTGATGACCCCTCGCTGCATCATGTATGGCTTGGATATGTCTTTTATGTTGAGCATCATGCGCGCATGCGCCAGCCCTAGGACGAGAAGGATAATGCTTATAACTTTCATTTACAAACTAAAAAATGCAAAAATTATGAAAGAAGAGGAGAGATATAATGAAATTAGCTATAGGAAAAAAGAGTCCGAGTGGGAGGCTCTTGTGCGCGCAACGTGTGTCACAAAACACATAAAGTCGCTGGACGTGTGGAACTTTCTCGACAACTTCCAAGTGAGCCTGGCCAAGAAAAAGTATCTGGTGGTGGGGCTGCAGGGCGTGATTCTGTACTCGACAATAACCCAGCCCGAGCACAGAGTGGACCACCTGGTGCAGTATGAGGTGGAGGGCACGACGTGCACACACTTTGTGACGTTTCGGCCAATGCTGCAGGACTTCTTCGAAATGGTCTCGAGATGGTACACGATCATCCTGTACACGAGCATGGAGAAAGAGTTTGCTGACGGAGTTGCCGACTACTTGGAGAGAAGGGGGAGCATATTTGAAAAGAGGCTGTACAGATCAGACTGCGACTATCTGGACGGCAAGCTGCTGAAAGACCTTGAGAAGGTCTCCAAGGATCCCGCTTCCATCGTTGTTCTGGACTACGACTTTGGAATGCACACTAACATCCTTCCCATAGACATGTACACCGGATGCCCCAAGGACAGAAACCTTCTTTCCACAATACTCATACTGGACAGCCTGCGGTTTTGCTCTGACTTCAGAAGCATTTTGGAGCTTGCACACATGTAGGCGCAGTGTAGCGAGCGGAGGCTCTGTGGGGCATGCTATGATAAATAAAACACCAATATATAGATATATCATGATAGAGAAAATTTTTATGGCTTTTTCAGCGTGCGAGAAAATAAACGACATACTCAGCAGAATTGGGTTTAAAAAGAGGACGCGCATACAGGAGAGGCTGCTTCCGTTTACCGAGAAAAGAGACATTATGGGGCTGTCGGAAACGGGGACGGGAAAGACCGCGTGCTTTGTCATTCCGCTTGTGGAAGAGCTTGCAGAGGACCCGTTTGGAGTGCACTCTTTGATACTTACCCCAACAAGAGAGCTTGCAATGCAGACAAAAGAGAAGGTGGACATCATCGGCAACTATTTCGGCATCAAGTGCGAGATCCTGCACGGGGGACTGGATGTCCACAAGCAGGTTGCTCTTCTGCAGAAAAAGCCGCACATTGTGATAGCAACGCCGGGGCGGCTGGCTGCAATGCTGTGCAGCGAGCAGAGCATCCTGGCCTTCAAAAGAGCCAAGAAGATAGTGCTGGACGAGGCAGATCTTCTGCTGAACGGAGACCAAGCTCTGTCTGTGCACAAGATTCTCAGCATACTCACAGAGAGAACGAAGAACGTGCAGCTTCTTCTTTTCTCAGCAACAGACATAGCTCCTCGCGTGCTGGTTAAGGTGAGGGATAGAGACTACAAGCTCAGCGCAAGAAAGAAACAGGAGCGCATTGCTTCAGAGGCTGGTCCATCGGATAGCGAACATCAGAGCCAGACAAACAGTATGGATGAAGAGAATACAGAAAATATAAGCGTAAAGGACAGCGATGCTGAAAAGGACGGTAATAAGCCAGATAAAGCACCCATGCACATTGATGACATCATTGAAAAGACCAGCTGCCCTGCGCTATGGAGAATGATTTATTCTAGAAACTTTTACACGATTGACACAAGGGTCTCTGCAGTCCCAAAGAGCATTACCCAGGAGTATGCTTTCGTGCACAGACAGGCAAAGGATGCATACCTAGCCGGCCTGCTCATGCAGGAGTACAAGGACGCAAAGGTGATGGTGTTTATGAACAAGGCGGATAACTGTGCCGTGCTGTCCGAGGTTCTTCAGGAGCTGGGAATAAACGCAGTGGGGCTGAGCAGACACACAGACAACAAGACAAGGCACAGCTCGTTCTACCGGTTTAGATCAGGCCTGGCCAAAGTGCTCCTCACAACCGACGTGCTCTCCAGAGGGCTTGACATCAAAGACATCTCGTGTGTTATAAACTACGATCTTCCCAATGACTTCACAGACTACATACACCGTATAGGAAGAACGGGAAGGCTGGACCAGAGCGGGTATGCGCTCTCTTTTGTCTCTGCAGTTGATGTCTCCATCCTGCAAGACATCCAGAGACAGACTGCCACAGAGATGGCAGAGAAAGAGCTAAAGCCGCTCACCACAGCACGGCTTATGAACAAAATTGCCACACACAGGGAGTTTGTTACAGCCCGGATAGAAAAGGCCTTGTCCAGATAGACAAGTATGCTGTGGCATACAAAACGTGCTGCGGCATTGAAGAAAATAGAAGGTCTTAGAAGAGATATATTAAAATAAAGAAGATATTCAACCAGCCTCCTGTATACTGTTGTAGTAAGCCTGCTGGGCATCTGCTATGTTTTCTGCATTATTCCGGTACGCACAAACGGCGTGCTATAATATTTCCAAATCGAAAATTCTTTTTATGGATATAAAAGAGAGAAAAGAGAAGATGGAGCAGATAGCCAAGCGAAGGTTCTTCTACACACAGAGTTTTGAGTCCTATGGCGGAGTTTCAGGCTTCTTTGACTACGGGCCCAACATGTGCGCGCTCCAAAACAACTTTATATCGCTGTGGAGGAGGCATTTTGTGCTATCGGAGAACATGCTCGAGGTGGACACGGCAATTATCACGCCGTTTGAGGTTTTAAAGAGCAGCGGGCACGTGGAGAAGTTCACAGACCTGATGTGCTCAGACGAGGTCACAGGGGACGTGTACAGAGCAGACCATCTAGTAAAAGAGTACCTGCAGAAGGAGGCAGAGGGCAGAAGCGAGGAGGAGAGAAGAGAGATGCTGATGCAGGCAGATATGATCGACTCTTTTGGGCAGGAAGAGCTGCAGAGCATCATAAACAAGCACGGGATTAAAAGCGAGAACAAAAACAGCTTGACGCCCATTGCCCCGTTCAACCTCATGTTCAACACCATTGTGGGCCCTGGAGGGAAGACAAAGAGCTTCCTGCGGCCTGAGACAGCGCAGGGGCAGTTTCTCAACTTCAAAAGACTCCTGGAGAACAACGGAGACAAAATGCCCTTTGCAAGCGCGTCTGTTGGAAAAGCCTTCAGAAACGAAATAAGCCCGCGCACAGGGCTTTTCCGGGTTCGAGAGTTTTTGATGGCGGAAATAGAGCACTTTGTGCACCCAGATGAGAAGAGGCATCCTAAGTTCGAAAAGCTGAGCAGGGTGGAGCTTCCTCTTCTCTTCAGGCCAAAAGACTCTGCAGACGAAAACCAAACCATCAGCCACTTAAAGATGGGAGATGCCGTGGAGAAGGGCATAGTGAACAACGAGACCCTGGGGTACTTCATAATACGTGTGTACGAGTTTTTGGTGAAGATAGGAATACCAAAGAGCGCGATTCGCATTCGGCAGCATCTTCCTACAGAAATGGCGCACTATGCCACAGACTGCTGGGATGTTGAAATAGACACGGCCTTTGGGTGGGTTGAGTGCGTGGGCATTGCGGACAGAGCCTGCTACGACTTGTCAGTGCACAGCAAAAAAACAGGCGACAAACTGGTGGCCAGAAGAAGACTGCCTGCCCCTGTTGTAGAAAAGAAGACTGCAGCTGTAATCAACAAGAAAGAGATAGGAGTCAAGTTCAGAGCACAGGCGCAGAAGGTCATACAGCAGCTTGAGGAGATGGGAGCAGAGGAGATGGCAGAAAGAAAGGTGTCCAGCGATGAAATAGAGGTAGAGATAGAAGGAGAGAAGCTCAGAACAAAGATACAGGAGATAGAGATAGTAAGGCACATTGAAGAGTACATACCGAGTGTGATCGAGCCTTCTTTTGGAATTGGCAGAATTCTGTACGCGCTCCTGTGGCACTCTTTCTGGATGCGGGAGGACGATGAGCAAAGGGCTGTGTTCAGCTTTAGGCCTGGGATGGCGCCTGTCAAGTGCATGATCCTGCCTCTGCAGGAAGAAGAAGGGTTTTCATCAACGATGCAGTCTCTGAAAGAAAGCATAGTTGATTTGGGCATCAGCTGCAACCTAGACGAAAGCAAGGCCTCAATCGGGCGAAGATACTCGAGAGCAGACGAGGTGGGCATACCCTTCTGCATCACTGTGGACTTTGAGACTCTGCAGGACTCCAAAGCTACCCTGAGAGAGCGAGACAGCACAAAACAGATACGAATTCTCATTGTGGATGTTCCCAGCGCTCTGAATCGGCTGGTCAGAGAAGAGGAAACATTCGCAGAGCTGGAGGCCCAGTATTCAAAATCAGAATAAACTATAGCTTCTTTTACCATGTTCTTTCTGTGCTATGCTTTGTTCTGTGTCTTTGGCGGAGTCCATCTGATCAATACATATTGTTTTTAGGTTAATGAAACCACCTAGTTGAGCAATGCGTGCCTAATAAACGGGTTATTATGACAAAGTGCACCCATATCAGAAGTGCAGTTAAGTCAAAGCACCAAAACTAGTGAAAAGGTGAAGATAGAGTAGCGTGCGTGAGCAGACTGAAAGGCAGATAAGTTTTTAAAGGTCTATCTATGCACACATTTTATTATTTTACTTGGATACCCCGCCAGAGCTGAAGATCCATTGAGACTCTTGGATTCTTCACTTAGAGAACCGGCGCTCAAGCTTAAGAGCAGGCCCTATGATAAAATACTTCGCGCTTCTTATGTGGAGGACAAAGTTGTGCATGGCCTTTGGGTAGATTTTTACGGCTCCTTTGAAGGCAATTGCAAGGGTGTTTTTTGTCTCATTAACGACAATTCCGCTTTTCAGAAGAGCATCGCTGCTGCACTCTTCTCTGTGGTGGATGGGCGAGACCAGTGCGCCTAAGAGCTCCATTTTGTACAGGATGCTTGTCAGTGAGCTGTTTGCGCTCTCTTTTCTCACTTTTTCAATGAAGTCCAGAAACAAACTGTGCAGATCAGAGGCAACTTTTTCAGTGATGTTTTTGTATGGAAAAACAGGCTCCTTTGGCGCACTCTTTTTGGGCGGCTTGCTGTAGGGGGTGTTCCCCAGCCAGACTCTTATTCCGCCCGTGTCTATCTCTTCAGACGTGCTCTGGCTGGTTTTGGACAAAAAGTGCTTCTCGGCATTGAACATATAAAAAAGACTAGCAAAATTTCAATTTATTCACAGATTAGAAGCAGAAAATGCCCTCGGCGTTCTGGAGGAAGCAGCATTTGTTTTTCTCGTTGAGATTGCACACAACCCACTTAAGCGTAACGAAAAGATTCTTTAGGGTCATGTTGGAGTACTCTCCAGCGTAGAAGTCTGGAGTTCTTGGTGCGCACTCTTGGCAGTTTAGGAGCGAGTATGCGTATGCTATCAAGCCAATCATTTTTCTTTTGAGGGCTTTTATTTCTTTCTTTGAGCCTTTCTTCTGGACAGCCCGTATTTTTCTCCATAGGAAAGAGAAGAACCGTGCCAGCTCCATGTCTGTGCAGCTGTTCACATTGCATGGGTTATCGCATGGGTTTGGTGGGCACAGCGGCCTAGGAGGGCATATAACTTCACATGGATTTGGTGGGCATATGGGTCTGCATGGGTTTGGTGGGCACAGTGGCCTAGGAGGGCATATAGCATCGCAGGGGTTAGGAGGGCACACTGGCCTGCATACCTTTGGAGGGCACACGACTTCGCATAGGTTTCTTACGCATTGAATTTCGTTTTCGTTGAAAGCCTGCAGCACGTTACCGGACTCACTGTTCAGCGCAGAGGTTTTATCTGCTGAGCATGCTACAAAAGCAGAGGCAGATGCTAGGGCAAGACATACTATTTTGGAAAAGAAGGTGGCTTTCATTATTAATGACTTCGAAAAGTTTGAATATATATGTATATTAAACGCTCTAGACCAGTCCAAAGGCTCAAACAGAGCTAAATTAAAAAGAAATATTTATTAAATGCTAAAGATCATATATTTCTAGAATACAGGTGTTTATTAGTCTCGGGAGGGCCTTTGGAGAAAGTGTCTAAAAATAAGCACATGTGATGAACTAGCTCAGAGTTTATGCTTGCTAAAACCACCAGGATATATACGTATAGTATCTGCGATGTATTTGTTCTAATTTTCTATTAAATACGTGCAGATGAAATATAAAAATAGATTTGCAAACAGACAGCCTAAAGACGGCGTATGCAGATCAGATCAGAAAATTCTTTTATTTATGTACATATAGCAACTAACTTTTAAATTGCTAGCAGATAGAGAAGTGTATTAATGGCTCTTTCAGCAGCTGAATCAGATGGCTCAATTGTGCTGGGTGCTTATTGAGCCTACTAGATGCATCAGCGATATATTGTAGACTGTAGACCACGCTGCAGCAATGAGAATTTGCAGGAAGATAAACACTCCTGCACACTGAAGCATGTGCATTTCGCGCATGTGCTCTTTCTTTTGTGTTCTAAACGTCTCTTTTTTCTTTGTCTGCAGCGCCATCTTATAGCAATGCCAAAACAGCACTGCTAAAAACACAGTGGATATCTTAAGGCTATTGCACCTAGCAAGGTAGTCTTTTACTTTGTCTATATAAACGCCTATTTCTACCCCGTTGAAGCTCTTCATTGTGTTGGATGCGCTAAAATATCCGGCTTCTTCACTGTTCCGAGTGATCTGCACTGCAAGCTTCTTAATAGATGCCAGATTTGTTGGTGAGGCATCAGCTGCCAGGCCAAAGAGGTCTTCCATCTGGTACATAAGCAAGAAGAAGTATCCCATAAAACACACAGACGCAACGTATATTGCCTGTATTTTGTTTGACCTGTTGATGCGAAAGCAGAAAGTCAGGATCATAGCCACTAGTAAACTATCTACAGTGGATAGCATGCACGAGTTTATTGTGAACAAGTAATGCTGATCAAGCCGTATAATTATGAGAGCTAGCAATAAAAAAATTAAATGGCTTACACATATGCATACATATATGGTTCTGTGTAAAATTCTTCTTTTGTACAGAATAAAAATAAAAAACAGGCCTGCAAGTGTCATAAACCCATCAAACAGCTGGACCCATAGAATAACCTTCTTGTACTCTCGCTCCTCGGTCCCGAGATAGGCAGAGAGCTGGAAAGAGCGCAGTGTGATTACGCGAAAAAGGTATAGTATGCCCGCAAGGAAAAAAGACAGCGCGCTGTATATTACTCTGGGCTTCTGCAGTGTTTCAGCTAGCTGTAGATAAAGCACTTTGAAGTACTCTGAGCGGGAAAGTGTTTCAACAACTATGTAGGATCTGTTATTGTTCTCATCGGGGGCGCAAAGATCATCCATGTTGTCTAGACGGCAGCTCTCATTTTCTTCGAAGTATGGTGTGAAACCTGCTTCATTCTCTTCTGCAGACTCACTCTCGGACTTCTCCTCGGTGTGTCTCTTGATTTTTCTTTTATTTTTATCAAGATCAAGGGTGCTCTGTGCAGGCGATGTGTTCATGCATGCTCTGGGTGTGCTGTTTGAGTTATACACAAATATATCCCTGTCATTAAAGAAATATGATATACTGATTCAATGATAAATTTCTTTATTTCTTATACAAAGAGAAATACATGGATACAGACCGCGTCCAAAAAAGAAAAGAAGGCAGAAAAGAAAACAAACGAGGAGAAGCAGCACAGGAGGAAAAGAAAGAGAAGAAGAAGCCCTTCACTGTAAGAGACTTTATTATATCCAAATACGGCGTTCCTCTGCTAAAGAAGCTGGAAGAGCCCTTCCAGAGGAAAAACAAAAGACATCTAGAGGGCGGAGATATGCACGCTTTGCACAGGTACATGCGGGCACTTGTGCGGCTGTACACTACATGGTCCCAGTCATCACCACTCTGCGGGAATAAGAGAAATCGGCCATACACCCTTCTAAAAGAAATAGAAGTAGCAATTAAAACACAGAAAGAGCAGCCTTCTGAAGAAAGCAAAAAGCTTGAGACAGACAAGCCCTCTGCATCAGTACCAGAGGAGAAGAAGACAGCTGGTAGATACTCTGAGAGTGTAGATAGCCTCTTTGAAAATACTCTATACGACACCCAGTCTTTCTCTCTAATGGGCATGTCGCAGACCGACACAGATGCACAGCAGCTCAACCTGGAAAGCATGTCGGATATCTCGGAGATCTCTGAAGAATCCTCTGCTGATATAACAGCAACTAGAAAGCGTGCTAGAAAAACAGATAGATAGCACAGCTGCTACAGTAATAAAACCCTTGTTTATTTATGCACTCACCTACTGTGAGTATATCCTCTTTCTAACAGTAATAATTCATCTTTAGGTCGTTTGAATTTGTACAATGAAATGTATTCCTGGCTTGAATATGCCGCACTCGCACAGTAGATACGCCGAGTCTCTGCTGTTCTTCTATATTTCAAAGACAGAAGTGTCTAGAGCCCACTTTTGCAGAGTGTCCATCCCTGCCAGCGACTTGATATACTCTTGCACTGCCACGCCAGCAAGTATATTGGTGTACTCTTCGCACTCTGTCTGGGGATCTTGGCGCAGGAGTGTGTGCTCCCTCGAAAGAGAAAGGGTGGGGGTGCTGATGTAACAAATATTGGGCTCTGTCTTAGAGCACTCTTTTTCTGCTGAAAGGTTGCATGCAAATGTCCATGACGGGCTTTCAGAGCAGACTTTAGGGCGCGCGCAGACATTAGCGCCCATCTGCAGAAGGAGCCGCGTTATGTGCCGTACAATCTTTTCTTCATCGTCTACAATGTGGATGTGCGAGTCTTCTATTTTTTTCTGTGTGGCTTCCCCAAAAAGCCTTATTTGTCTAGAGTACTTCTCCTGCTGCATTGATCCAAAAATATGCGCAAAAAACTTTCCGAGGAGGAAGAGTGGCTTTTGTTTTCCGACGCAAATGGCAAGATGTTTCTGCAGTTGATAAGAGAAGCATTCATAGAAGATGCACCGGGCCCTTCTTTAGTCTCGCAGCTGCATTCTCTGCGGCCCATCATCTTTGAAAGGGTGAGGTGTCTCTATAAAAGAGCAGTGGGCATTCTGGAAGAGGGAGCACTCCTTCTTCTCCTCATAGCTCTGCGAGAAAGGGAGTGTGCTGAAAGAGAAATTCTTCTCTGCAAAAACATAGAGCAGATGGGAAAGGATGAGCCCTCTTTTGTATACGAATGCATTTTGGAAGAAAGAAAAAAGCTGCCGTCTGAGGGATGGGTGTACTATGCAGTGAAAGATATTGCTGGAAATAGGGCAAAAGAAGCAAAGAGAGCGTCAAAACTACTGCGCTCTGCGCTGTGGGAGGACATAAAAGAATTCGGTCCTTTTTGGAACAGCATGTTCGGGTACGAATTTACTCCAGCTCTCTGATCTGTTGAAACGGTTTTTCTCTTGGGCGAAAAGCAGCACAAAGATTAGCTGCAGTTGATTCAGATTTTTATGCATCCATATGAAAGGATGCCACGTAGATTTAATTAGTGTTCAAGTGGTGATAGAGAATCAGCGAACTTATCTTTATTAACTGTATATCTGTTAATCCTATTCACATTCATGTTTATGCTTGGGCTAAATATTCTTAGATGGATAAAGTCTCTTGCTCCGCCACAGCTCTATAGCATCAAAAAGACTAAACCACCAGATGCAATAAAGCATTTGAATATTTCTTTTATTCGTAGTCATAGGTGCTGCTAATTTAGATACTTCTCTAGGAAAAAGGCGTATATCTCTTTTGTCTTCTCTACTGGAGGAGGAGTCATCTGTATGGAGCTAATAAAGTCTATCTCAGCCTGTCTCGATATTTTCAGAGGAATGTTTCTTGTTTTTTTCTTTTCTTCCAGCACGCTGCTGATTATCTCTTTCACCTTCTGCAGATACTCGGTGTTTAGAGGGCCTGCTATGAGCTTTTTTGACGATGTTCGGGGCCTAACTGACTTTTGCATCACAGCACACGCTTTCTCAAGGGCCGCCTGCGCACACATGTTAATATTCTCGGCATCCACTACAAAACACGGCGTGTCCCATTTGTCTGTTTTTCTTGGCTTTTCAAATATCCTGGAAACAACCTCGAATGTTTCTGTCTTTTCTCCGCCTGCATGCACTTCAACAGCGCTGCACTCTTCTCTGTGCATATTCTCTACTTCTTCGGCTCGTATCTCTCCCCCTTCTTGGTAGCCTGCAGCACAGTACACGTGTGCAGTGTCTATTCCCATGTTTTTAGCTGTGGATGATATTTCGTACCGAAGGCCCTTTATGTGCAGAGGCGCATAGATGAGAACCAGCACTCTTTTGCTGAGCTTGTTTTGTATAATAGACCGCATTTTAGCAGTTTCCTCCCGTGCGTTAACACCCACTGCGTTTTGCAGAACAACTAGCACAGAGTCAATGGCGCATGGATCGTCTTCAGTTCTTTTTTCACACGGCTCCTCTAGACTGCCAGAGTTGCTGGTTTTCTGGCTGTGTGCTCCTTTATATGCCTTAATAAGCTCTGCGAGAAGAAAATGGAAGAGCGTTTTCTTTTGGGGCGATGGGAGGCCCGAGAGCATGAGCAGGGGCATTTAATTAAAGACCAGCAGATTTTTTAAATAATAAAACGTGCGGCTCTGGCCTGTGCAGCATGTAGTGTCTCCACCCTTTGCTTTGGGTAATGCCCAGCCCGCGCCACTCGTGCTCCTCGAGCAGCCTGTCCCGAGGGACCATGCGCGATAGCTCCTTGGGGAGGATTACGTGTCTGTATATGTTTTTGTTGAGATCTTCGTACGTTTCGCTGTAGTATATTTTCTCTGCAAGCCTTACAATCTCCTCTGGTTCGCCATACATGTTCTTAAAAAAAAGCAAAAATAAATGACAGAAGAGGGATTCGAACCCTCGCCCTCGGAAGGACTAGAACCTGAATCTAGCGTCTTAGACCACTCGACCATTCTGCCGCTGCAGATGTTGGAACGCACACACATAGAAGGGTTCAAAATGGCACAAGACTATTTTTTATTTTTTCAGCTCCACACGTTAACTGCAGCTATGTGCACCATCTGTGCATAGAAAGCAGCTATTTGGCCTGCGCGTAATAAGAAAATAATAGATGCCCGAGAAGAGTGGCAGAGCTATTCGGGTCTAGTCTGATACATATGCAAGTAAAAAGGCTATAAACTAGTGTTTTATTATTTATTTCTTTGCTATGCTCTTTATCTTGTCTCTCTTGTTGAATCTGACAGAGGCGGTCTTTTGCTCTCCCTTCTCTGTTGACATTTTGCTCTTGAGCTCCTCCAGAGATAGCCCTACAAAAGCTCTGACTGCCTTTGTGACCTTTGGAACACTCACCTTGGACGGCTTGAAAGCAACGGCCTTCTTGTGGATGATTCTTGACGCCAGAGTCCAGCTGATTTTCTTTGGGTTCATTCCCTTTTCAAAGAGACTTCTGCACTTCTTCTTTGCGAGAAGGTACGATGTACCGTTTGGAAGCACTACGATTCTTCCCTTTCCTCTGTATATGGCCTGTCCACTAAAGCTGCACACTCCGAATTTCATTCTGGGGTATAAAAGAAAATAAAATAAAAATCTATTTTTTGTAGCTATTTTCTTTTTATTACTATAATAATAAGCCACAAGCACAAATCCTCTACTACTACCTATAGACGATGTCCATCTACTCTCAGCCCGCTCATACAGAGTATATTTGGTGGTGAGATACTCTGCGGTGCTAGACACTGTTTGGGCTAGATGTCTTTTCATGCTCCTTTCTCTTGGCTTCTTTCCTCTGCTCAGCTTTTATGTGGTCGTATCTATTCTTCATAGACTTCTTGATTCGGTGGGGCACTATCTGGTGTCTCTTCATGGCTTCTATCTGTGCAACGTTCTTGTACTTTTCTTTTATGATGTTTCCCAGGGCTCTTGAGTTCTCTTCTGACTTTGTGCATATTTTTGTGCTTGAGTTGGGGTCTAGCTTCCATATACGTATGTTTGTGTCCGTGCTTCCTGAGAGGATGTATGCGTTGTCGCTTGTGCAGCATATTGCGTTGATGGCCTGCATTCTCTTGTTGTGGTAGAGAGCCTCCTGTCTGTGGGAGGTGTCGTTTGAGAATATTCGGACACTTCTGTCAACTGAGCCTGTTACTATCCTTGTTCCGTTTGCGGAGTGCTGTATGTCCGACACAGGGCTTGCGTGCCCTCTCAGCGTTCTGCAGGGCGGGGTTATGTACGAAGAGTTGTCTCCCGTGTAGTATGTGTTGTATATGTAGATCTCTCCGCTGTTTGTTCCCGCAGCCACCATCGATGGCGCTGATGGGTCTATCGACATCGCGTTGATTTCAGACTTGGAGACAATCTCCAGCTCGCTTTTTCCCGTTCTGCTATCGTATCCAACTATCTTGTTTCCTTCAACCGTGTACAGAATCCACTTTGCATCACTGGAGATGTATATTCTCTTTGCCTGTCTTTCTCCCTTGTAGCTTGCTATGGATTTGATCCGCTCCTTGTCAAAGATCTCAATCCCGTCCACGGTTGATGCGTAGAAGCGAGAGGACCCGTTGCTGACTATGTCCATCACTCCGGAGCACGCTGTGAATTCTGTTTCCTTGGGGGCTGTGCTCTCTGCCATAACTCCGCTGGTGATTTCCTCGTAGTTGGCATCTCTGTGGAAAATACTGTTCTTTTTGCTGTATAGAAGCGTGCTGTCGAGAAAAGAAATAGCAGCTGGCGTTGTTTGCTCGAGGGCAATGGTCTCTACCTCTGCTCTTTTGTTCATGTTCCACACCTTGATGGTTCCGTCATAGCTGGTTGATGCATACAGTGGGCTTTCGGTGCTGCACTTCACTATTCTTGTAACTCCCTCTGTGTGTCCGTCCAAGCATCCCACAAACGGCTTTCTGAAAAGATGGTCCAGCTTTACCTCTTTTACTGCGCGCATGTACTCCTTGTGCTTTTCATTCTGCGTGAGCTCGTTCTCTGAAAACATTCTTGTCTGCACGTGCTTTCCGCTTCCTCTGTCGAGTGTGTTTATTCGGAGTATCCCCATGAATAAAATTTCTGCACGGGATTTTTCTCTATAACTGAAAGACTTTTTGGCCACATGTGTCTGTGTGTTTTAGCGAATAGCAGCACACAGCACACTCTTCAATCTCTGCAGTGCATCCCTCTGATTGACAGCTCTGTTTGTTTTTGCTTTTTTTTCGGTGCATATCGATTGCTCTAAAACATGCGCACTAACTTGATATGCTGGGAGAGAAATGGAAAAGAGATGGCTTTGCAGAGAATGCAGCAGCTGTGCAGGATACCAGTCTTTATTCTCGTTGTGTCAGAGTGTCTTACGTTTGGAACTCTTGTTTGGCACTGGAAGATGCACAACGCGGAGTGCGTGCAGATGGCTTTCTATTTCATAATCTACCAGCTGCTCGAGCTCAGATGTTTTTTGTTCCGAAGCCTTGAGTACCTGCTGTGCATGGCTGCCATGAGCGGCATAATGGTCTTTCTGAGCGCGAGCTATGGCATACCCAGGAACTTTGAAATGCGAAGTCTGTTCTACGCTAGCCTAATACGAACTGTTGCCTACAGCCTCTTGGTGTACTACTTTTCGCCCATTTTCAAAAAGAACGCATATTTTGTGTATGCAAAGCGAGGCGACGGAGAGTGCATCTTCTTCGAGGGAGCGCTGCTTAAGGCCTTCATAGAAATACAGGCTACAAGTTTTATTGTGTACGAGTTTTCCAAGGTTTTTCAGACACATGCGGTATTTGAGAATGTGTACAGCAGGCAGCCGTGCTTTGCCATGTGTGCCATGGAGTCCAGTGTGAAAATAGCAGTGTATGTAGAAACGGTCTGTCTGGCCACAAAGAACAAAGTTCTCTACTGGGGTGTTTTTATTCTGTGGATTTTCTATGTCCTGCACGAGAACTTTGTCTACCATTTGATGCCTCTGTACTTGAGACACAACCACCTCTTCATGGAGTTTAGCGAGATGCACCAGCTGTGGGAGAAATACCATCTTCTGAATATAGCTGTGGCAGGCGTATTTTTTGTGTATTCGTTTGTTTGCAAAAGAACGTATGAGAATATATACATTGTGAGAGAGGCGCAGGCTCGAATAAGGGTAGAGTAGCTGGCCTGTGTGCATCTAGTATTTCTGCTGTGTAAATAAAACATCTTTGTACAATGTATATATTGTCTAGTATGAACTGCTAAAGAGTTTCTCACCCATTTAGATGTCTATAAGTGTATGGCTGTTCTCAGCACATACTTCTGCAGGAGATATTCTCGAGCTGTACATAGTATAAACAGAAGAGCCCTTAGAGAACTCAAGAAGGCAGGCTATGTACGTATAAGATAGCAGCGATACAACATTGAGTGTTTATGCCACAAATTAAATCTGATTGTTTGGGACAGCAGGAGAAATAATAAAAATAAAGATTTAAAATAAATAAAGAGTACAAACAATGGCATACACTTTCTGTTTTGCAAAATAAAATACGAAAAGAAAAAGAAAGCACTTCAAAGAAAAAGTAGCAGAGAATAATTTATTGCAGTTGCTAAGAATGCAAGAGAATGTAGCACACAGTGCAGGTAATCCTAAGGTCTCTTCTAAGATATCTAAGACAGTGTACAGTAAACATGCAGTGAGTTATTTTAAACCTACAGCTTGAGGATGGCTTAGTTTGTTACTTCTGCACAAAGAGCCTAGAGAAATGCTTCTGCACTCTTCTGTCCTGCAACAGAAAAGAAGAATGCATTATGCTGGGTACTTTGGCAAACCGACAGGCTTAAGTGAACCCGGTTAGCTCAGTCGGTAGAGCATTGGACTTTTAATCCAAGGGTCGCGGGTTCGAGTCCCGCATCGGGTGATTTTTGCTCACCAGACAGAGATAGCCAGATGCGTGCGCTGCAACAAGTACTATTTGTCAATCTAAACAAGGAAGATGGCATGTATGCATATGTAGAGTGATGGTGGTGAAGTTTAGTGCTGCATAGCTATGATTGATTTGATGCATTCTGTCAGCCAGTAAGCTGGCAGCAGTGGCTCAGATGCAGACTTTGAGCATGAGGCGCTGCGTGTGCAGAAGTAGTGCTGGTATATTCAAATATTGGAGATGTATTTTTGCATCTTTTGTGCTAGTTGATTTTACGATTCTGCTCGCTGATCAGCTATATGTACTTAAAAATTTTATTTTCTACGATGAAGTCAAACGATACACAGATTGAAATAATATTCAATAAAGATGCGATAAACGAAAGATGTGCGAAGGTTTCCAGCGATTACGAGATAGAAACAAAGGACATTGGCCTGAAAAGCAAGCTTGTGATAGTAAGAGAGCTGCTCGAAGACAACATAAAAATTGAAGCAGACGGGCTAACGGAAGCAGAGAGCATGTGTGTCTTGAAAAAAGCACAAGCAAAGTTTTTCTACGAAGTTGCATACAACATTGACATTAGCCAGATGAAAGAGTCTCTAGAGGGGCTGTTGTTTGCTTCGTCTGAAGATGAGAGCTCTCTGCGTGCTCAAGTCTCCAACCAAATAAACCAGTGGCATGCATACGTTAAAAGCATAGAGAGCAAAGAAAAAGACAAAAAGTTTGAGGCGATTGCAGAGCATTTAGAGCTAGACATGCACTACACAGCTCTGCACTATGACAGAGCTACGTGGACGTACTTGAAGAAGATCGACAAGTTTTATAGCCTGTTTAGGCTGGACAGCGACGACATCTACGAGCTGAGCGAGATCTACACAGAGGCCAAGAACGAAAAAATGTGCCTGCTAGACCACGGAATGAAGTACATTTACGAAAACAGAAGAAAGATAAAAGAAGTGGCAGAGAAGATAAAAGAAGGCGAAAAAGAAAAGAACAAAACAGAACAGAGCAAGCACGATATGGCCACCCAGAATATCTGTGCCAGCAACATCAAGCTGATCAGGTCTATATACAGACACAAGGACAGCATTGATGAGGGCCGCCTGGTGATATGGGGAGTGTCTGACATATTGGAAAATGTGTGGTGCTCCTCCAACATTCTCATGCGCAAGTATGAAGCAAGTGCAATGGTGGGAGAGAAGCCCTCTCTGCTCTTTATGCCTCTAAAGTGGATGAAAGGCGCCTTGGGCATGGTGCGCAGGCTCTTCAATAGAATGAGAACGCTGAGTGTCACAGACCAAAGAGCCTTCTACTGCACAGAAAAAATAAAAGAGCTGGAGAAGACTTTGGAGAAAGAAAAGTACAGCCTGGAGAAAACAAAGAAAACCCAGACAGTTAAAAGCAACAGATTGAAAGAGATAAACAAAGAGATGGAGTCAAAGAAAGCCTCAAGAGAAGAAGACCTTGAAGAGCTCAGATCAGAGAAAGCGCTGGTCGAAGAGGCCATAAAAGACCTCAACTGCAAAGCATCCGAGGGAAAGAGCTGGATAACACAGATACTGGATGACATCAAGGCTCTGGAGGAGTACAAGAAAAAGAACACCAGTGCTCTGGGCAGGCTCCAGAAGAGGCTGCTAAATACAACAGCCGAGCAAAACAAGTACCTGAAAAAGCATAAAGACAGGTACGCACAGGCATATGGCCAGACCCTGGAGATATTCCCACCAGCTGGAAGTGCATATGCAGGGTGTGTGAAGCCGGTTGCATATTCTTATCCATACAATAGTATATATCCATACACGTATCCATACAATGCATACCCATACAATGCATATCCATACCCATACAATGTACAACAGCATAAAAATAGAATAGCACCTAATTCAGCACAGAGTGCACACCCAATAAACCACGGGCATGTGCATAACACCTTACACTTAGGCCATCATGTCCGTGCAAAGGACTCTACAACCGCAGGACAGCACGTGAATGCATCTAGCACTGCAAATGGGCAGAGATTTGCACAGCATGCGCATCCTAAGTAGGCAAGAATAGCCCGATAATGAGAGAAGCTGCCTCTGACAGATAAGACTAGGACGTTTTAAATAAATTTTACCTATTGCACCTTTACTAGCAGAATAGCGTTAAAACATAATGATAGAGCGCTGACTCTCTGCCTTTCTAAGCATCAGATATCTGCTGCTTGATAGCTCTACAGGTGGGCGTGTCTTTGCTATTTCCTTTTTTATTGCAAAGAAGAAAAGTTTAAGCACCATTATAAGCTATGTGGATTTATTTAAAATAAAATATAACTATGCACACAAAATGCGCTATGTTAATAAAACCTTGTAGTAGAATATTGCCAGATAAGTCCACTGCACCAGATTGCTCTTAAAAATGTATTTAGCTGTACCTGTGAGTGTTTTCAGCACTTTCTCCTCTCCACTATGGCAGCTAGTAGACATCTCATTTTCTTGCATGTTTGCATCTATCTGTTCTTCTCTTTCTTCTGCTCTACACCCATTGTCTAGAATCTTTGATTTCTCTTTATTTTGCTCTGACTCATCTGTCTCATCTACTTCTTGTGCTTTTTCTTCCTCATCTTCCTCATCTTCCTCATCTGCTTCTTCCTCTACTGGCTCATCTGTCTCATCTGCTTCTTCCTCATTTAATTCAATTCTATGCGTAATATCTTCAGCTTCTTTCTTTTGAAGTTTTGAGATACTTAGACTACTATTATTCAAACGTATGTATATGTATAATACTGCTGCAGATGTGAAGAGTGAAGCTGCGAATAGAAGTATAACTAGTTTTACTTTGCTGTCTCTTATTTCCATAAGAAAATCTGTGTTTTTTCTTTAAAACAATCTCTACTTTTGTATCATTTTGATTATTTTATTTGTGCTGAGGAGGAGCATAAAGAAGAAATAAAAATGCAAAAGGGCCAAGAAAACTGAAACAGACAATAAACTGTCCTTATATTTGGAGCCCTTATAGCTGAAGTATATACCGAGTTGATGTGTTAACTGTGCACTCTTTATTTTAATAATCCATGCATTTGCATTGACCGGTTTGCGTGTTGAAGAGCAGTGGACTTTCTGAGTGCAGGCCCAGAGCTTCGCATGATAAAGGATAATATAGCACACAAGACGCGGCTTACCTGCGAGAGCTGCTGGGCTGAAGTGTGTGGAGCATTGGTGGCATAGACAATAGCATGTTTTTGGCGCGTGGCTGTGCAGAGCTCGGTGGAGTAGTGCACTTGCTAGTACTGATCGAAGATGTGGTCAGAGACAGGCGAGCCACTTGTTGTTTCCAGTATGTGCGAGCGAATGGAGCACATGGGGGCGTTTTTTAAAAGATCCTCTTCATTGCTCTTGGGCACTATCGGAGGCTTGTAGCTCCTCCCCTGGATGATCCCCCAGTTGATATCATGGAAGAATGGGTGGTTGCGTATCATTTTGGCGCCTTTTTTGTATCCGAGCCTTTTCTTTCTGTCTGTCTGCAGGAGCTTCTTTATGAGATCGCGCGTCACAGGATTCACAGAGGCGGGGAACTTGATGTGTCCGAGAAGGATCAGCCTGCAGAGCTCCACCTGGCTGGCGTGGTAGAAGGGCGGGCGGCCCACGATCATCTCGTACAAAACGATGCCAAGCGACCAAAAGTCCACCTCAAAGCCGTGGCCTCTGTTCATCACCAGCTCAGGCGCCATGTACTCAGGCGTGCCGCAGAGCGTCCATGTGATGGGCTCGTACAGCTGTTTTGAAGACCCAAAGTCTGCCAGTTTTATGTGGCCCTTTTCATCGAGCAGAATGTTCTCTGGCTTGAGGTCTCTGTATATAATCCCAAGAGTGTGCAGACCCTCCAGAGCCACAAGTATTTCAGCGATGTAGAAGCGCGTGCGCTTTATGCTAAATTTTACTATTTCTTTCATGTAGAAGAAGAGATCGCCGCCGGGAACATACTCCATGACCAGGAATAAATGCTTCTCGTCCTGGAAGGTGCTGTAGAGGCGCACACAGAAGGGCGAGTGCACGGCAAGCATTGTCATTTTTTCGTTGTATATGTGCGATGTTAGATTGTTGCTGATAACGCGGGCCTTGCTTATTACTTTGAGCGCGTACAGCTTTTTCATCTTTACGCTGGCCAGGCCCTCGAAGGCCACAAGAAACACCTTTCCGAAGGAGCCCTCGCCAAGAAGCCGGACTAATTTCAAATCTCTCAGCAAAAACATCTTTGTGAAATCCTAAAAAAAAGTTTCAATTTATATCTAGATTTTAACTATGTGACCTGCAGGGCGAACAATGTGATCGGAGGAGTGTGCAGGAGCGCATGCATGGGGCTGAGCGGATTGGAGAGACAGAAGCTATTTACAGAGAGATGCGTATAGATCAGAGCATGTGTGTTAAATGTAGCCTAAAATAGCAATATCTCTCGTATAAATAGAAGAAATAAGTAAGCTAGACGAGATACATTCTCCTAACAATTATATTTTTTATTTGTGGAATAAAAGAAAGAAAGCGCTTTGTATGTGCACATAGACTGCCCATAGTTGTTTTTATTGCAGATATATGCCGCTTGGCTCTTAGGGCGCGCCTCCATATATCAATGGCGTGTTTTGATGTAGAAGAGGAAGAGAGATATTGCTTTTTAATCTAAAAGATGGCATCAATAGAAATAAGTATAAATATAGTGCATAGAGTGCAAACACAATGTATGTAGAAGGGGTACAGTCTTTGCCCTTTGTTGATGTAGCCTTAGCAGTGTTGTTTTTAACTGTTGTGATTACAATTATACTAATGACAACACTGACAATTCTATTCTTTGCTATATATTTTATTGAGCGTAAGTGGAAGCCATATTGGAGAGAAAAGCAGATGGCTAGATCTTAAACAGCATTAAAAAAATTGTGCATGCATAAATAAAAATGTAAAGGCAAATAGCATAGAATTTTTTAGCTTTTTAGTGCTGTTTCCTTCTCGGATAGATGCAAGGGGGAGACGTCTGTTACATTCTGGAGTAAAAAGCAGATGGAGAGTAAGTAAGTCTGAAGGATTCTCGGGTTATATTCATTGATGCTGTATCTTTCAATGGGCAGCTGTTGTTGTATGCTAAGCTATATAATACTCAATACACTCAAGTTATTCTCGGGCTATTCTAGAGTAGATTCTGTGCTTATTCTATCGCTTTGGCATTTGGTGCTATTTTGACCAATTCGCATCAGATTGTTTTAGCTATAGTTCAAACGGTTTTTAGCACTTTGGGTCTTAGGGTCTGTGCGTATGAGCAATGCAGATGCGCTATAAGTAGAAAATGAATGGCTGGCTTAGAATGCAAGAGTAAGGTTCTAACTGAAAATATAAATAAAAAAATGATATTTTTAGCATGAAAAATCAGAAAATGAAGAAAATACTAGGTGCGTCAGGTGCAGTGCTTATTTTCTTTGTTGCAGCGTGCAGAGGAAGTGGAAATGCCTTTAAGAGAGAGGCGTGCAGCAGCGTAGATTTACACGCGAGAGAAAGTAGCGAAGAAAAAGAAATATTAGACCTAGGCAACTCATCTTTCTTTGATTTGCAGCCTGTGAGCAACAGCAGGCTCTGGAATGGGCATGCTCCAGATAACAGAGGGAACAGTGCAGCCCGAGAAGTCCAGTCTGGGCAGTATGCAGCAGGGTATAGCATGTACGAGAATGCCTCTAGCATGCTGCATAATATGCCTGGTACGTCAAGAGGCCAGGATGCATACATGCCCAGCATTGAAGGCTTATACTATTCTTCAGCCATTCAAACGCCTGTCTTTGTGGGTAGCCTAGGATACAATGGGTATAGCGGGCAAAGTTCTAGCACAGTTGTTAAAACGGAATATCCGCATGCTGAGCCAAATATGTTTGCACTAGAGTCTAGCATTCTTGGCTATTCCTTCGATCCAATGTATGGCATGCCTAGTACATCGAGACAGGAAGACAGAATGAGTGGTTCAGATCTTTTTCCTGCTAACTCTTATGCGTACAACACGACTCAGGATGAGTACAAGTACTTTGAAGGGCATGAAAGAACAGGGCATTCCAGGCAGCAGCCGCATGTAGTATATCCCAGTGTAAGTGTGAGTGTTTTCAATGGAGCAGAAAATGCCGTTGATTTTCAGAGAAGTAGAGACAGAATGGCCAATGAAAGAGGATCAGATCTTGACAGCATTGAGGTGGATAAGAGCAGCTCTATATACGATCTGTCAAAGCCGATAGATGCATTTGTGGATATGTACCACCTGCCAGCACTTTCTGTAGAAGAGCCTGGTGCGAGCAGCACTGTTTCTACTCCTGCAGAGCCAACTATCAGCAATAGAACAGCTAGAACAGAAAAGAGAAAAGCTGAGCAAATGAATAGTGAAGTGCAAGCATCTGCTCTTCAAATGGCATCAGATGCAAAGAAGAAAAAGAAAGAAAACGCATTGGAAAACATGCCTAGTAGAGCATCTTCTGATTCACAAGAAGCTAGAGAAAAAGCAGAAAAAGACGAAAAGGAAGCATTTCATATATACAAAACAATAGCACTTAAAAACATGAGAAAAGCAAACATAAATAAGATCAAAACCGAAGTATGGAGCGATAGAAGACTAACCAACATACGAAGAAAAGGGTACAGATCAAGGCACAAAACAGTGTACACTATCGGCCCTTACGCCAAGCCCTACATCCAAAACATGGGACATGAGTTTCACAAAGACAAGATTATGAGAGACATAGAAAACTTTACTCGGGACTTTGCTTCACAGATAAAGCAGAACGCACTGTGGTACTTCATTGCAAGCACAACCACAAACATAGCCACAAAGTATCAAACTCTCCTGCAGCTGCAAGACATGCTTGAGGATGCAAGCGCGGGGGAGCACAAGAAAATGCTGACGGATCTTGAGGGATACTATCCTGGCGTGATTAAGGACATTCTAGCATATTCAGACAGCCACCAGCCGATGCGGATCAAAAAAAACAGCCTTCCAACTGAGTGGAAGGAAACGCTGGGCGACATCTATATTCGGCAGACTCTGAAGATAAACCACCACATGGTAGAGTACCAGAGCAAGATCTCCCAGATGGAAAAGAAGTATTCTGCGCTGGCATATGCCATGCGAATGATTCTAACACTGCCCGAGGTGTACCAAGACTTTTCCACCATCAGCGCAAAGCTAATAAGAAAAACCAGGACTTCGAAAGACGTATCCAGAAACAAAAAAAACTACCAAATTCTGCTGGCTGTGCAAAAGCTGGTGCAGATGCATATTGCAAAAACAGAAGATGTTGCTGATGTGTATGAAGAGATCTACAGTGTGCTTGAGAGTGCATTCACTGAGGAAGCTCTGCTAAAGATGATGGTAGTTGATCTGTACAGGGAAATATACATAGTTCTTGGGAATTTCTACGAGAACGTAGAAGTGCTGGACACGGAGAATGAGTATATTCTGACGGGCAAGTGCACAATAACAAACCACAAGTACATGAAATGCGAGGTAACAGCAGACGTAGCATCAAGAGGCACGGACAAAAGAGTCTTGGCTTCGAACTATTCCCTGGAAGAGAACAGATGGGGCATCTCGCCTAACATATGCACACACTATCATGTGTACTGTGTAGACAACACAACACAGCAGCTCAGAAAGATTTGCATGCCCATGCACATAGATGAAAATGATGAAAAGCACTGTCTGCACACAATTAACGACATGGTGGAGCATGTAAAGAAGCTGTATGGGATAGAAGAAAAAAGCGATACTGTGTACCCGTTTAAAGTGCGCAAAGAAACTAGAGAGTGGACATACATCAAGAAAGGGGAGAGGAGCCTGACGGTGAAGGAGCTGGAAGAGTACGAAGTGGTGTTCTATCGAATTGAAGAAGACCTGAAAGGAGCAAAGTTTACATTCGCAGAGTTCAGGTCTTTATATTCAGGTGCTGAGGATATTATTCGCATACCGCTGCTCCTTGCTCCTCTAATGCGGTCTGCAATCGAGCTGGGCCCTTTCGCTATGATGGGCAAGCATAGCGTGGTAGACTCGATAGAGTTTGAGAAGAAAGTGCCTGATGTGTACGAATACAATAGAAAGTACCAGAACAACGATTACTCGGATGTGCACAATTACTACAGCAATCTGTACATACCGCTCCACAAAAAGAAAAGCATGGAGTGCTACGCGATGGACTGCAAAGTGGCTACTGAAGGAAGCAGCGCTGCTACGGCTGTGTGGTATGTGAGAATGCCCAGCAGTGTGGATGAGTACACGTGCTGCATGCTGGATGAAAGTTTCAAAGAAAATAGACATTTAAAAAGCTTCAATGCTTTTATTGCAACGATAGAGTCAAGGGAGGGCAATAAAGACAACGAACTGCAGGGATTCTGGATGCACAATAACAATGGAAAAGCAGACAGCGAGTCTAAAGAGTCGGCTCAAAGAGTGTACATCTGGTTGGCAGATGACTATGAGCACAACAAGTTCGCAGAGCTATACAGCATAAGTGAGATAGAGCTAAAACTAGGAAATGAAAAGCACCGGCTCGGGGTAAAAGAAAGCGAGCAGCAGTTATTGCTAGGGGTAAATAGAGACAGCTCATTGAAGGGCATGAAGAAAAGAAACTCAGTATCTTCTGCAAAATACAAAACAAAGATCAAAATAGAAAGCCTGTGCCAGGCAATGCGCATAAAGCTGTCCAAAAAGCCGAGGCGGGAAGCAGATTTTATAGTGTTTCGAAATGCAAATGGAAGCAATTCAAGCTTGGGAGCACACAACGAAATTCTTGACTTTTTAATTTCGTGCTACAACCACAAGCCCATAAGAAACAACAACATTTAATAAACAAACAGCATTTCAGAATTGCAAGCCTTGTTCTTATGCTGCATAGGCAGTTTTGGCGTCGGCATAGTGCACAGGAGAAGAAACAGTAAAGACTGCATCTAGCTACATCCAAAGCGGCATATCAGTGTGCACACATAAGCATGGCTGGTTATTGTTTGTGAGAAGGGATTATAATCGCACATTTAGGAATGAAATAGCTTTATGCTGATTGCAGAGAAAAGATCTAAAGCGCGGCAGAAAACAAGGCTCAGAGAGGACCTTACGGAGAAACTCTCAACAGAGCATGTGCAGAGCCGCTTCACCAGAAAATGCGTGCGTACTCAGTGCATGTAAAATAACAAAATTTAAACTGAAAATTATAAATAAAAAAATGATATTTTTAGCATGAAAGACCAGAAAAGGAAGAAAATGCTAGGTACGATGGGTGCAGTGCTTATTCTCTTTGCCACAGAGAGCAGGGGTAGCTGGGACAGTTTTAGTGGAAATGCATACAACAGTGTGTACAGTTCATACATAGGAGAAAACGGCGCAGAAAGTGCCCTAACAGACTTTGACTATTCTTTCCTCACCTTGCAGCCTATAGCCAGCAGCATGCCTTTGCACGGGTACAAATCTTTTAATACAGCCGAGCAGTATATTCAAGGAGAACAGGATACAGAAGAGCCTGGTGTGAGCAAGAGCGCCTTCAACGAGGTAAATAGCAATGATCAGGCACTGCGAGAAGGGCACCAAATAGATGTATTGGACCTTGACAGCATTGAAGTGGATAGGAACAGCTCTATATACGATCTGTCAAAGCCAATAGATGCATTTGTGGATATGTACCACCTGCCAGCACTTTCTGTAGAAGAGCCGGGTGCGAGCAGCACTCTTTCTGCTCCTGCAGAGCCAACTATCAGTGCTTTATATTTAAAGGCCAGAAAAAGAAAAAAAGACGAAATAGATGCAATTGCTCCTCAAATAGTAATGGCACCGAGCACTAAAAAAGAAAAAAAAGAAGAAGTCTTAGAAGAAGAAGATATTCAAGATATCACCGATGAACAGTGGGGGAGTGTGGATATAGCGAAAAAAGAAAGAAAGGTGGAGGATCTTGAGATCAGACTCTGGAACGACAAAAGACTGACTAACATGAGAAGAATAAGCTACAAAACACTGCATCAGACAGTCTACAAGTATGAGAGCAACGACTTTGTTTTTTACTTGCCCTGCGAAATAAGGTACAAAACCCACCAGGAAAATATCAAGAAAGACATAGAAAACTATTGTAGAAAGGTTGCTCCTCTGATAGAGAAGAACGCGCTATGGTACTTTATCGCGAGCAGATCTAGAAACACCGCTTCAAAGTGCAGAGACCTCTTGGGTCTAGAAGAGCTGTTCAAGGACGAGAGTGCAGATGAGCACAAAAAGATGGTGATGGGTCTTACAGGATACTATTCTGGCGTGTTTGAGGACATGCTGAAGTACATGGAAAAACACAGAGCACTAAAAACTAGCAAAGAATACTCTCTGACCGTGTGGAAGGAAACATTGGGGGACATATACATCAGAAAAAGGCCGGAGATAAACTATTGTCTGGTGGAGGGACAGGAAGCAATCAGACAGATGAACAGGAAATACTCTGCTCTAGGCTATGCAGTGCGAATGATCCTGACACTCCCTGAGGTGTACCAGGACTTTTTCAACATCAAATTAAAGTTCATAAAAAGCACTAGAATCTACAGAGATGTGTATAAAAATGGGCAAGCCCACCTGCTCCTCCTGTCTATGCACGCGCTTGTAAGGGAGGTCATAGAAGACAATGCGAGAATAGAAAAAGAGTATGAAAACATATACTGTGCTCTTGAGGGTATATATAAGAAAGATGCACAGAACAAGTCAACAGCTGCCAGGATATACAAGCAGCTGTACGCGGTTCTTGCAGACTTCTATGATAAAGCAAAAGTGTTTGATGCGAACGAGTATGTCTTGGCAGGAAAGTGTGTTATAAAGAACCAGACGTACATCAAATGCAAGGCAACTTTGGGCGCAGTGCTGGACAAAGGAGCATACTCGATACGAGTCTACCGCTCTATCTACTCATTTGAGACGAACAGATGGGACATTTCGCCCGATGTAGATGCACACTACCACGTGTACTACGTGGACAACACAACGCACCAGCTCAGAAAGCTGTGCATGCCCATATATAAAGAAGAGGGCAAGAGAGAAGAGTACTACCTGCACAGCATCGAGAGCATAATAAAACACATAAAAATGCTGTATAAGATAGAGCTCACATCAGATTGTGTGCACCCGTTCAAAGTAAGGAGAGAAACTAGAGAGTGGACATACATTAGGAGAGGAGACAGAAAGATGACAGTGAAGGAGCTGAAAGAGTATGAAGTGGTGTTCTACTACATTGAGGAAGACCTGAAAGAAACAAAGTTTACATTCGCAGAGCTCAGGCCACTGAAAGCAAATAAGAACAGCATCTGCATACCCCTCTTTCTCACGCCTCTGATGCAGTCTGCAGTGGAGCTAGGCCCTTTTACTAAGGAAAGAGTGCACGCAGAGCTAGACTCAATAGAGCTCGAGAATAGAGTGCCTAGTGTCTACATCTATGATTTAGCGTATATAGGCAGTGAGTACTCGGACATGCATGGGTACTACAGCAATCTGTACATACATCCAAAAGGAGAAAGTAAAAGAAACTCTGAATGCTATGCCATGGGCTACAAAACGGAAAAACAGCCAGACAACTCCATGAAAGTCGAGTGGTGTGCGAGAATGCCAAGCAGCGTGGATGAGTATACGCACTACGTTCTTGATAGAGGTTTTAGAGAAGAAGAAAATGAGAGAAAGTTCTACAGTTTTGTCAATGCGCTGGAGTCCAGAGAGCACAGCCGGGACAGCGAGCTTCACGGCATTTGGCTGAGAAGTAGCAGAAGAGAAAACAGCCAGACAGAAGGCCTGGCGCAGAAGATATACACATGGCAGGTGACGCTTCAAATGAATGCGTACAAGAGGCAAAGATTGGATGTAGAGGAAATCCAGAAGAGAATAAGAGACACAGAGGAGAAGTTTAAAAACGCAAAAGAAAAATATACGCGTCTAGGCCTATTAGCAAACAGCGCTGAAGAAGCAGAGAAAAAGAATGCCAGGAACTTAGTAAGTATCATAAAAAGCAGGACAAGGAAAAGGCTAGAAGTGCTGCACAAAGAGCTGTACAAGAAAATGTCTGAGAAGCCAGACGAGCAGGCAGAGTTTATAGTGGTTAGGAATGTGAACAGCAGCAAGTCCAATCTGGGAGCACACAACGAGATCCTTGACATTTTTATTTCGCACTACAACCGGCAAAAGAAAGTCTCTGAGGAATAAATAGAGTTTAGTTTAGTTCTGAGTTTGCATTACTCTTGTGTTTTATCGACGCTTCAATGCATGTGCTCAGATGATCATAGTGTTGATGGATTGGCAGTTACTCTGTTACAATGCTCTTTGTTTACTTACATACAAATGTTTTACTTGCTTAATTGCTAGTACTTAGAGTAAAAATAAAATTGAAATGAGCTTATAAAAAGAAAATAAAAGCTAAGTGTATACTATTATGTAGAATTTTATTTTTTATATTTACTTTTATTCTTGTATGTAGATTATTCAAAGGAAAAAGGAAGTACTTGAACACAATAAGAATATGGGCTTGCAGAGAGGAATAAAATAGAAAGATGGCTCTGTTGCACTGCAAGGATAAAAATAATGGACGGATCAGCTGGAGTATAGAGAATAAGTATAGTTTATTTTGAAGATTAGATAGGCAGTATTAGACAGCTAGCACGTGCTGAATGCTTGTATGTACCTTGAATGGATAACCTTATACCATGATACTTTGTACAAGCCAATAGCCACCATCAGCAACTTTCATTCTATTCTTTGCAAAGCCAGCCAACAATCCTGATACTACTACGAGAACAGCGCCAGCTATGAGCATCTTAATGATGTTTGAGTGTGTGAGTTTCACTGAGAAGAGTTTTCTTGCTTTCACCACTTTTATGCCATGTCCTTCTCCATGCTCTTCTATTTTTCTGAGGATGTATTCGCGCTGGGCCAGGCTTAGGATGCCAGGATAGAACTCCAATCTGTACAGAAATTCAAGAATGCTTTCAGACTCCAAGTCTTCTTTCTGTGCATCGCACTCTAGCAGGTATATATCATTTGTTATGCCGTTGATGGAGCATTGCAAGCTTTCTATCTCTCTGCTCTTTTCCTCTCTTATTCGGCTGTAGGTCTGAACATCGGGGCTGTTTTCGTCGGTTGGCTCTTGCAAACTTGCTTCTAGCTCTTCGCATTTCCTGCTTTCTGTGAAGCGAGACCTGTACTTCCTTTTTATTTCTTCTTCTAGCGCAGCCTTTTTTTTAGCGACTAGTTTTTTTATTCCTCCGCTGGAAGTTATGTAGTCTTTGACAAAATCTTCCAGATCAGTGGTCACGATCAGCGTGTTTGAGCCATCTCTTCCTTTCAAGAGGCTGGTGTTTCTCGCCATGTACTCCACCGCTCTAACCATGCAGTTGAGCACTCTTTTCTCGTATGCAATTTCTTTTAGATATGCGCCAATGGAAAAGACGATCTTTAGGTCTTCAGGGCCAAGAACCTCATTAATTTGCTCGGCTACAACCTGCGGGTCATTGGAAATAGATTTCACCGCGGTGGTTAGCCAGATTAGGTCGGAAATTTCATAGTATTTGTCGTGGATGAGTCTGAGCCCGTAGTCTACTAGGGATGCACCAGTCTCTTTATGAGTGAGGGTGTACAGCTCGTCAAGGGTGTAGCGTTCTCGTGTGTGTGTGTAGTTCTCCAAAGCATGCATGCCCAGCAAGTACACTAAGCTAGGCACATAGCAGAAGATGTCTCTGTATAGGCTCTCTGAGGCAGACTGGAGCATGCTCTCCAGGCCCAAAGGGTTCTGTGTGTCGCCAACCTCTAGGGTGTATACCCTAGGGCTCAGATCAGCACTGGCGTCATATGGGTCTATCTTCTCGGGCTCTTTGTTCTTGTCGTGCTTTCTGTGTATTCCGTGCTCTGGCTTGTATATAAGCGTGTTTGGCTTTATAACTTCATTAATCAGATGGACAGACGAGTTTCTAATGTATCTGCTCTCTTTATTGACCAGGGAAAAATACAAGTTGCGTATGATGTGCACCATGCACTCATTGTATATAAAGTGCTGGTGCATATCGTTCTTAATTATGTCCAAGACAGCCTTCTTTTCTTCGCCAGTGAGTAAACCGCTTTCTATTTCTAGATTCCTGCAGAGTATGTCCTCTAGCACGACTGAATAGTCGATGTAGGTATGGTTTATGGTGTGCACCTTTGAGTCTTTGCTGCTAAAGTGCTGGCAGGCCTGCACTATCCCTTCCACGTTTATCTTTAGCCTGATCTCTTTTATGGGCATTTCAGATGTTTTAATTGTAAAAAATAATTTAAAATAAGGGTTTTTGAGACAAAAATTTGATTTTATTTAATTTAGCCTGATCTGATTTGACCCAAGAATGTTTTTAGTAGCAAGTAATAAGGCCTTAATTAATGTTTCTGCTTCCTTAGATGTGTGTATTTCTTAAGCTGCATGCTCATTATAAGGTTCTATAAGTCAATAACTTACACCAGAAGATTTTGCATGACTCTTCAAGAATCTAACTAGAAGCACTGATGCTGCTATACAAACAGCACCGAATATGAGCATTTTAATTATGTTCCCTTGAGTGAGTTTTGTTGGGGTGTGATTTCTTTCTTTTGGCACTTTCTTTTCTTCTTCTATTGTTTCTACATTATTTCTTTTCTGTACTTCTAGCTCACCCACTATTTCATTTTGTCTTATTCCTTCTGATACATCCAACTCTTTTGGCCCATCATCTGCTTTTTCCAGCAGTTCTTCTTCTTCCACGCTTACTTCTTCTGGCACTTCTGCTGTTTCCTCTGCTTGATTTTCTACTGCTTGCGCGACTGCCTTTACTTTCATCAGCTTTTCAAACTCTTTTATCTTTTCCACCATGTACTCTTTCTGGGACATTCTCAATTTAGACAGCTGGTCTACTTCGCTTAGTATTGTATGGATGTTCTCGATTTGCAAGACTTCTTTTCCTGACTTCCATTCCAGCAGCTTTATGTCGTCTTTTATAGCTTTGACAGCATAGTCTTCGCTTATACGGCGGGGCTGAGCGCTAAGTCTACTATTTTTAAATGCTCTTTTGTGTATGCGTGCTTCTTTTCCGTTGTGCTTTGGGGTTTTTTGTTCTAACTTTTGCGTCTTTTCTCTTGTTTCCTTGGCTAGCTCAACTCTTTTTTCAGTGATTACTCTTATTAGGTCCGTGCTCGTTATGTAGTCTTCATAAAATCTGCTTAAATCAGGCCCTATGTTCAGCGCCTTTGCTCCATTCTTTTCTTCCAAGAGTTTGGTGTTGTTCAGTACGTACTCTAATGTTTTAAACATGTTGTTCTGCATTCTTTTTTCATACAGTATTATGCTTGCATTCTCGCTGATAGAAGCGAGTATACTTAGCTCTAGTGGGGTAAACAGTTTAGTGATTTCTTTTTCAGTTATTCTCTGTCGAAGTTCGTGGCTGGCAGTGGGCTCTATATTTCTAATTTTTCCAAAAGTCTCGGCAATTTCGTAGAACTTTTCAAAAACAAGATTCAGCCCGTAGTCTACGAGTGCTGTTTCAGTGCCTTCGTATTTTTTTGTGTACAGCCCATCCAGCGTGTAGTATTTTTCTATGTAAGCATACTCTTTTAATCTGTGCATGCCCATTTCATTCAAAAAGCCAGATATGTAGAACAAGTTGTGTCTCTCCAGACTCTCTGTGGTAGCCTGCAGCATGTTCTCCAAGACAGAAGGCCTGTCATCAATCTCTAGCACGCATCTCCGAGTGCTTAGGTCAGGGCTGGCACTCTCAGGGTCTATGCAGTCTACTCTTTCCTTTTTCCTGTGCATTCCGTGCTCTGGGTTGTATATGGAAGGGTTTGGCTCTATAAGCTCGTTAATGAGACGGATAGTCTCGGTTTTAGTCCGGTCATTGTCTTTGATCCTTAGCGCAACTTGCACATTGCGTATGATCTCTACTTTATGCTCATCGTATGCCAGGTACTGATACAGGTCATTCATAAGTGTGCCTAGAATTTTCTGCTTTTCCTCATCAGTGTGCTTGCTTTCTATTTCCAGATTGCCTCTAAGTATATGGTTTAGAAGAGCGATCTGCTCCCTTGGGCTGTCAAACCTAATGCGTATCTTTGAGTCTGGGGCATTGATAGACAGACACTTCTCCACTATTTCCCGTGCTTTTATCCTTAACTCAATCTGTGCCATGGCAAATTTGAAAATTTTAAATCATAAAATAATTTATCCCTAAGAACAGGCCTTTTCCTGCCACTGGCGTGCTACTATATCTTATTAGCGTATTTTCCTAAAGGCTTCTAGTTCTCGGGCTATTCAGCAGAACTGTTGTTGTATCTCTTCTTAGGCAAGCCTTGTTGTGGCAGATAGTCTTCAAATGAGCATAGGCCATGTACCTATCCTTACTCTCACTTTCCGTGCCATCTTGTGATTACTCACTTAGTACACATTGCGACCGTGTCCTATTGCATCAGCTATTTGGCTCTGCAGCCTAATATTGCTGGTTTTTATTTTTCATTATTGCAGTATATATGGTAAGGAGTCTGTTTGACTAAACCTTATAATAGTAAAAATAAATTTTTTGTGAAGATGAAAAACCAGAAACTACTGAAAATACTGGCAGGTACAGCGCGTGTTCTTTTTCTTGCAAAGTGCAGAGGGAGCAGAGCTTCTTTCGAGGAGGATGAAACAGAAGTGTTTCTTGGGCTATCTGTAGTTGACAACGGCAAAATAGACAATAGTGCCGGGTACAGCAAAAGCTATACGAACAGAGCAATGGAGGGGATATCGCAGCATTATGGTGCTTTTGTGCAGCACATTGAAAGACCCAGCGTAATTAGACACACCTCTGATTGTTTTGTTGGAAGCAGCAGACAGTCTGCAGGCGAAAAAAGGAAAGAAAGCGAAATGAGTAGTCCCACGGATGTGCCTGATCATCAGGCTGCACCAGAAAATAAGAAGCAAAGAAATGACGAAGTATCCAGAGACGGCTCACTAGACTCTTTAAGTGACGTTGACATTGAGATCATATCAGAGGATGATCAAGCTGCACCAGAAAATAAGAAGCAAAGGAATGACGAAGTGTCCAGAGACGGCCTACCAGACTCTTTAAGTAACGTTGACATTGAGATCATACCAGAAGACGAACAGCCGGCCACTGAGAGCAACCCAGTGCCGCAGCCTGCAGCAGAAGTAGCTGAAGAAGAGGACTATATAAATCTCCATAACATCGATATGTGGAACGATATGGACGTAAGGCTGGTGAATAAAAGAAGAAAAGGGTACAGAGTGAGACACAAAACAATCTACGTGATCGATGATCTTGCCGACTTCAAAAACAAAGAGATAAAAAGAGAAGAGTACAAAGAAGGTCTTAGAGAGAGCATTGAGGAGTATGCCACCAGAATTGCTCCGCTGATACAGATTAACCCAATGTGGCACTACATTGCGAGCAAGTCCACAACTATACAAACCAAGTACAAAGACCTGCTGGGCCTGCAGGAGCTTCTTAGGAGCGGGAAGAAAGCAGACAGAAAAATGATAGAGAGCATTCAGGGGTACCGCCCAAATATAATCGAGGACATAATCGAGTATATAGAGAAGAACCAGCCGATGAGAGCCAAAAGATATGATCCAGAGAACGCTTGGAGAGAGACGCTGGGAGATATTTACATGCGGACACTGCCTCTGCTGAACTATGCTATGCTGAAAGACTTGAATGGCATTGATCTGATTGGCGAAAGGTACCACGCCCTTGTGTACGCTCTGCGCATGGTTCTCGTGCTGCCCGAAGTGCGCCAGGACTTTCTTGGCATCACTGGGAGCCTTATAAAAAGAACCAGAATTTCAGAAAACTTTGCTGTAAACACAAACTACCAAAAAGTCCTGCTGATAATCCACCGAATGGTGCAGCTGAATATAGACCAAGAAATAGACGAAAACTTGTGCGAGGAGGCCTATAGCTATATTAAACTGCTGTACAAAGGAAGAAAGCCGCTAGGAGAGCTGAAGCCTGCTGAGATGTACAGAGTGGTGTACACAATCCTTGGGAAGTTCTATGAGAAAGTAAAGGTGATCGATACAGAAAACGAGTATGTGCTCGCAGGCAAGTGCATAATAACGAACCAGAAGTACGTGAAGTGTGCGAAAGCGGTGAATGTATCTGGGGAAGAAGACACAAAGCTCCCAGCCCCCACATACACAGCAGTGGAGAACAAGTGGAATGTCTCGCCTGACGTAGAGCCGCACTACCACGTGTACTACGTAGACAACACCACCCAACAGCTCAGAATACTGTGCATGCCTCTGCACATAGACAAAAAAGAAAATATATACTGTCTGCACACAATTGGCGAGATAGTAAAGCATATAAAGGCGCTCTATGGGATGGACGCCTGCTCAGACGTTATACACCCGTTCAAGGTAAAGAAGGGAAGCAGAGAGTGGTCGTACATCAGAGAGAAAGAGAGGGATAAGACAATAAAAGACCTCGAAGAGTGCGAGGTGGTCTTCTACTACATTGAAGAAAACATAGAAAAAACGAAGTTTACTTTTGTGGAGTTCAGGCCTCTCAGCGCGCATGAGAAAAACAGCGTGTGCATCCCCCTGTTTCTCAAGCCCCTGATGCAGTCTGCTGTGGAGTTTGGGCCCTTCAAAAAGAAAGAAGAGCACACAGAGATAGACTCAATCGTCTTTACAAACAGAGCACCTGATGTGTACGAGTACGATAGAAAGTACAAAAGAAGAAACTACTCGCATCTGCACAACTACTACAGTAACCTATACATTCTCTCGAACAAAGAAAAAAATGCAGACTGCTACTCCATGGACTGCAAGATGAACGAGAAGTCCAACGGCACTGTTGAGGCTGTGTGGTACGTGAGAATGCCCAGCAGTATTGATGAGTACGCATTCTACATGGTTGACGAGGCTTTTTCCAGAAAAGAAAACGCAGAGGACTATGATGCTTTTATTGACACGCTAGAGTCAAGGGAGTACAACAAGGACAACGAGATGCAGGGGTTCTGGCTGTGCAATAACAGCGCTGAGGCTGGAAACGGCAGGTATACCGAGCAAGTATATAAAATGTGCAGCTGGCTTGTGAGCAACAGCTACTACAACAGGTCTGTGTCCAAGGATAGTCTAGCAGAGATCAACCGAAAAATAGGAAAAGCAGAAAAAATGTACAAGGAAATAGCATATAAACAGGTGAAAAATAAGAGAAGGAGTAACGAAAGCGTGTACGAGAAGAAGCTGAGCAACAACTTGCTGTCTGTTAAAAAGTACAAAGAAAAGAGCACTTTGGCGGTCCTGTACAGAGAGAAGTACATAAAGGACTCTAAAAGGCCGAGTTCAAGGGCAGAGTTTATAGCGGTTAGGAATGTGAACGACAGCAAGTCCCATCTAGGCATACACAACGAGGTTCTTAATACCTTGATCTCGTGCTACAAGCCAAGGAGCTTTGTGGAGAATAAATAGAGTTTAGTTTAGTTCTTGG